GGGGACGCGGGTTCGTGCCCCGGTCCGGGAGGATCCCACATGCCGCGGAGCGGCTGGGCCCATGAGCCATGGCCGCTGAGCCGGCGCGTCCGGAGCCTGTGCTCCGCAACGGAAGAGGCCACAACAGTGAGAGGCCCATGTACTGGGGAAAAAAAAAAAAAAAAGCAGCACAATTTGATCTGTTTTGACATGTGTATAAACCTGTGAAATCATCACCATAATCAAGATTATGACCATATCCGTCACTGTCAAAAGTTTCTTTGTGTCCTCTTGTAATTCCTTCTGCCCACTCCTTCCTTCCCTAGGTAACCACTGGTCTGCTTTCTGTCACTGTAGATTGACTTGTTTTCATTTTCTAGAATTGTATAATACACAATATAAATGGACGCATACGGTATATACTCTTTTTGCCTGGTTCATACTCTTCTATCCCTCAGCACAATTATTTTGAAATTTATCTGTGTTGTAGCATGTATCAATAGAGCATTCTTTTTTATTACTGAGTAGCAGAGATGGGACTAGGGTGAGGCAAGGGAGGTGCCTAGGGTGCAAAGTGCAAGCTGGTGCTCACCCTCGGGATCCTGCAAAGGCAGCACTGGGACTTCCATGACCCTGGGAGTGGGCACCTCCTTGTATTTTGCACCCTAAACACCTCACTTGCTTCGTTCTAATCCCAGTCCTGCTGAGTAGCATTTCACTGCATGGATATATCGCAATTTGTTTATCCATTTACCTGTTGATGACATATGATTGTTTCCCAATTTGCGTTGTCTGTTACAAATAAAGCTGTTAAGGACACTCCTAAGCCTTTGTATGGACTTACACTTTTATTTCTTTTGGACAAATGCCTAGGAGTGAGTGGCTGCAGGACAGAATCAGTGTATAGATATATGGGTCTACTTCTGGACTTTCTCCTGTTTCTTTGGTATGTTTGTTTATCTTATACCAACATCCCACTGTCTTGATTTCTGTAGTTTTATAATGTTTTAAAATCTGATGTTAGATCTTCCTCTTTGATCTTCTTTTTCAAAGTTGTTTTGACTATTCTGGGATCTTTGCTCTTCCATATGATTTTTAGAATCAATTTGTTCGTTTATACAAAAATGCCTGCTGAGACTTTGATTGGGTAGAATGGACATCTTAATAGTATTGATTCTTTTGACCCATGAACTTGTAGTATATTATCTCCACTTATTTAGATCTTTAATTTCTTTTTGCAGTGTTGGGTAGTTTTTAGTACACAGGTCTTTCACATTTTTTGTCTTGTTTATCCTTAAGTATTTTGTAATTTTTGATGCTACTGTAACTTGTAATTGTTCACTGCTAGTTTATAGAAACACAGCTGATTGTTGTATATTGATCTTATGTCCTGAAACCTTATTAAACTCATCTTTTAGTTCTAGTAGTAGCTTTTTTGTAGATTTCATCTGATTTCTTACATAACTGATACTGTTACCTGCAATTAAAGGCAGTTTTATGTCTTCCTTTCCAATATGGGTGCCTTTTACTATTTTTTTTCCTTGCCTTATTGCTTTATCTGGAAATTCCAATATAATTTTTAAAATTGAGTTATAATTGACATATAACAATGTACTAGTTTCAGGTATATAACATATTGATCCTATATTTGTATATATTGAGAAATGGTCACCATAATAAGTCTAAGTTAACATCTATCACCATACATAGTTACAAAAATAATTTTTTCTTGTGATGAGAACTTTTAAAATCTACTCTCTTTGTAACTTTCAAATATGCAATACAGGTTATTAAGTCCCATGCTGTACCTTGCATCCCTGTGACTTACTTATTTTGTAACTGGAAGTTTGTCCCTTTTGATCCCCTATACCCATTTGGCTCAACCAATCTGTTCTCTGTATATATGAGCTTTTTATTTTTTTTGGTTGTTTGTTTTTTAGATTCCACATATAAGTGAAATCATATGATATTTGTCTTTCTCTGTCTGACTTATTTCACTTAGCATAATGCCCTCAAGATCCATCCATGTTGTCACAAATGGCAAGATTTCATTCTTTTTTATGGTTAAATAAACCATATATATGGTATGTATGTGTATATATATCACATCTTCTTTATCCATTCATCCATCAATGGACACTTAGGATGTTCCATAACTTAGCTATTGTAAATAATGCTGCAGTAAACATGGGGGTGCATATATCATTTTGAGTAGTGTTTTCATTTTCTTCAGATAAATACCCAGAAGTGGAATTGCTGGATTACATGGTAATTCTTTTTTTAATTTTTTGAGGAACCTCCATATCATTTTCCATGGTCACTGCACCAATTTACATTTCCACCAACAGTGCACAAGCATTCCCTTTTCTACACATCCTTGCCAATACTTGTAATTTCTGATCTTTTTGATAATAGTTGTTCTAACAGATGTGTGCTATCTTGCTGTGGTTTTGATATACATTTCCTTGATGATTAGTGATGTTAAGCTCTTTTCATGTACCTGTTAGCCTTCTATATGTCTTCTTTGGAAAGAAGTTAGTTGAGGAATAATTGAAATCTCCAGCTATAATTGTGGATTTGTCCATTATTTTGTATTTTTTTTGCTTCATTTGTTGTGAAACTCTGTTATTAGATACATAAGTATTTAGGACTGTCATGTATTCTTGATGAACTAGCCCCTGTATCACTGTGAAATCCCATCTTTATTCCTTGTCTTGAAATTTTTTGTGTCTGGTATTAATATAACCACTTCACCTTTCATTTGATTAAGTTTTTGTAGTATATTTTTTCCATATTTTCTTGTGACTTATCTGTGTTTTTATATTTAAAGTGTGTTTCTCATACACCATATGTAGTTTAAACTTGCTTTTTGAAAAAAATCCAGTCTGACAATCTCTACTTTCTAATTAGGGTATGTAGACCATTTATATTTAATGGGAGTATTTATATGATTAACTTAAAATCTATATTCTTGCTATTTGTTTTCTATTTGTCCTGTGCTCTTTGTTTCCTTTTCTTCTGCCTTCTTTTCAATTAATTGAATTTTTATGATTCTGTTTTATCTTTTCTTGACTTATTAGCTATAAGTCTTTTAAAAAATATTATTTTTGTGCTTGCTTTAGCGTTTGCAGTATACATCTTTAACTAAAGTCTATCTTCAAATGATATTATACCACTTCACATAGAGTATAAGAACCTTTCAACAAGATAACTTCCATTTTTCCCTTTAAGCCTTTGTGCTATCGTTGTCATGCATTTTACTTTTGTGTATGTTGTAAACACCACAATATGTCGTTATTTTTGTTTAAGTAGCCAATTACCACTTACAGAGATATAAATAACATTAAAAATCATCTTATATATTTACCATGTAATTGCCATTTTGGAAAATTTGCTGTCGTCTTTATCTTTGGTCCTCGGTGCATAATGTGTCCTTTTCCTCTAGATGCTTTTAAAATTTTCTCTTTATTATCTGCTCTAAGCAATTGGATTATGATATACTGTAGTGTAGTTTTCTTCATGTTTCTTGTGCTTCAGGTTGTTAAGTTTCTTGGGTTTATAATTTTCATCAAATTAAAACAATTTTCCACCATTTTTTATTCAAATAATTTTCTGTCTTTCTCCCTCCTCTTTTTCAAGGTATCCATTTACATGTATATCTAGATGTTTGAAATTGTTTCACATCTTACTAATGTTCTGCTTTTTGTTTATTGATTTATTGACTGATTCTCTTTTCTTTGATTTTTTCATTTTGGATAGTTTCTATAGTTGTCTTTATGTTCCTATTTTTTTTCCTCCAATATGTAATCTGCTTTTAATCCCATACAGTGTATTTCATCTCACACATTCAAGTTTTATCTCTAGAAATTTGACTTACCTCTTTTCTCTATCCTCTATCGCTCCCCTTATATTTCTGAACATATGCAACACAGTTATAATTATTTTGGTGTTCTTCTTTTCTAATTTAACTTCTATATTAATTCTGAATCAGTTTCAACTGATTTATTTATTTTTCTTATTATAGGTTCTATCTCTCTGCTTCTCTTAAAGCCTGGTATTTTTTTTTTTTTTTTTTGTCATGGGACATATCTGTACTAAAAAATTATTCATTGTTTATCTGAAATTTAAATTTAGCCAGGGATCCTGTATTTTATCGGCAATCCTACGTCCTGAGAGCTCTAGTCCCCTTGACTTCTACAGACTCTTACCTTTGTCTTCTGAGCTCAGGGAATTCTCCAGCCTCTGCCGGAGTTTTCACTCACTGTGCTACAGCCTGGACGTTCTCTCACGGAAGTAAGCTTTTGCAGTTGTAGGGTTCATCTTCTTTGTTTCCTGTCTCTCAGGGATTGCTGCCCTTTGTTGTCTGATATTCATTATGTTGAAATCCAATTTTTCATATACTATTCCCGTTTTCTGGTCGTTTCACCCAGGAGAATAAATCTGGTCTTTATTACTCTATCTTGGATGGAGGAGGAAGTCCAATTCCAGAGGTTATTATTTTTAGCCAGAGTCTAAAACATGGTACCAATGGGGGCCAAAGCTGAGTGTTCAGTACCTTTATAGGAGAGGTTATTTTTTTTAGCTCTGCTCCATAGTTTCATGAAATCAGCTATCTAGGAAAAGAAAATGCTATGGATCATAAAAGGTACCTAGTGATTATGAGAACGGCTCACCACTGTTGGGAAACTGATTAGAAATGCATGTCTGCTAATAAGGAAATGGGGATGGGCCATAGAGTTATTACCAAATAAAAGAATAAATCAGCACATAACAGTATTGTCAAAGTCTGGACCAAAAGATAAAGTTAGCTGAGGTTCAAATGCTTGGAAAATTGAACACTAATAAGTTTGGAGGCAGGGCCAGGAAGAAAAGGCCGAGAGAGTCATAGCGGTCAAACTGGGGTCATAGAGGGGCCTAGTCCCTCTTTCCTGTCTAATAATCAATTGCATTCTAGCTGGGGGATCTCTGAAAATAAAATAAAAGGATTTCCTCTCTTTTCTCTTTGGTTTCTCTTGGTTCAGCCATATGCCGCTATCCTCTGGGCATGTCGGGAGGCCACATTCCAGATGAAGACATCACAGCTTCCAGTCAGTGGTCAGAGTCCACAGCTGCCAAATATGGGAGGTGAGAATGGATGCCTCAAGAACACCTGAGTTCTGGGTTGGACAGAATTACTGACTCCAGGTCTAAGGAAGAAGCGTGGTACTTGGTGGGAGCTGGTGGGAATGGGGGAAGGACATCAAAGTGGACCTGCTCTGCATGTTTTCAGGTAGAGAATTTGGGGCCCGGCAGCACGTGCTGGTCTAGCAACCTCACCCTAACCACAGGGGCCCTAGAGCCACACCACTCACAGCAGATCAGCTTATTGATATGCAGTGCACTTTCTTTATCTCACGTTCTCACCATGAGCTACTGCAGGAAGTGGACTACAGTGGTACCTATGAAAAAGTGCAGATTAGGTAGGTCACTGAGAGTTAGGAGACATGGCCCTCTTCTCAGTGGGTGTTTGTGAAACATCAATCACAGTGCAAGGCATCAAGGCCTTAAATAGACATTGAGGCATCCAACAAATTCTTCCCTCCTCTCAAGGATACCTCACATAGAAGGGCCACCCTCATCCATAAACAAAGTATGTTGGGTTTCTTGTGGTCTAATATCAGGGGTCCTTTAAAGCAATAAACTATTGCTTGTCAAAAATTATTGTCAAAAACTATTCAGCTTGTTAAGAAGTAACCTTCCTCCTGGAATCTAGTTCTTTTGGTGTAAAGCATTGATTTCTGTTAAAATGGAATCATCCATAGGAAAAGCAACCCTGTAAACCTTCTCCATGATTTCTGTCTTAGTGTATGCAAGATTAGAGTGATGTTTGGTGGGGTTGGAAGGGAGCAACAATGAGCAGGTGCCGTCTGTGAGAGAAGGCACATTCCAGGGAAGAGGGAAAGGGGGAAGAGGGTCCCCAAATAAGCCTTATAATGATTTCACAGTTTTGTTTGTGGGTAGCTCAGCCTGGAGGTAGTAAAATGAAACCAGATTATTTACTATTCCCTGACATACTCTTACCCCTCACTTTCACCATAGGTTTCCATGGCTTTTTGCTGAGCTGCCATGCTCACCCTGCTGGTTAAAATTCTACTACATTACACAACCCACACTGCAGGTCTTATGATTCCTCCCTCCCCACTCTTATAACTTGATATCCAGGCAAGGAGTGGTTAGCCTTGTTATGCTGAGACTGAAAATGGGGGCTGGGGGTGAGGGTGGTAAAATAACTCAGTGGGGAATAGAGGGTAGGAAGGGTTTCACTGCATGGGACCTCCCTTGAGATCACTAAATCAGGATGGGAAATAAAGGCTCCATGTCATCTGAAGGCTTCTAGCTCCCTGGTGGTGACTGTCTTTCTGGGTTTCATGGTGCCCCAGGAAGAGGGAACTGACCACAAGTGGGTACTGTGGTGACAGTCAGACTGGTAGGGAGAGCCCAAAAAGTCCATCTGGACTGGACTCCCAGCCTGCTGTCTCTCTTCAGCACTGGGCAGCTGCTTGCTGGGGACTGGTAAATAACTCTGTGGTTTCGTGGTTCCTTCCTCTGCCCCCAACCCTCGTCAACCAAGGCTGGACTCAGAAGAAGGGGACGGAGCCTGGTGTCCTGAGATTCCAGTGGAACCTGATGACCTGAAGGAGTTTCTTCAGATTGACTTGCACACCCTGCACTTTATCACTCTGGTGGGGACCCAGGGGCGCCATGCAGGGGGCCATGGCATTGAGTTTGCCCCCATGTACAAGATCAATTACAGTCGGGATGGCACTCGCTGGATCTCTTGGCGGAACCGGCATGGGAAACAGGTGAGAAGAAGACACATTCAGACCCTGGGATGTCTGGGACCATATTTTGACTTGGGCTAGAAGAGGAAGTACACAGGTTGTCTATGTAGGTATGTGTGTCTGCAGACCTGGGATGCCCTTGTAAATGTGTGACCCAAGATGAAGGAGGGTGGGGTGGGGGGCACACATAGGGATATCAAGGCTGCTGAGTGGATACATTCTGCTCCTTGAATTAAAAGGAGAGGTTCCGTCAAAGAGATTATGACTTGGGGAATGAAGAAGGGTCAGCATAACTTCATAGCATCTTCTCACTCTTTCTTTTATCTCTTCTCAGGTGCTGGATGGAAATAGTAACCCCTATGACATTTTCCTAAAGGACTTGGAGCCACCCATTGTGGCCAGATTTGTCCGCTTTATCCCGGTCACTGATCACTCCATGAATGTGTGCATGAGGGTGGAGCTTTATGGCTGTGTCTGGCTAGGTAGGTCTCTAGAGAGAGCGTGTAGACCTTATTAAAAACTCCAGCCCCTGGGAAAGAAAGGCAATCAAATCAGAAAGAGGAATTGCTTTCACCAAGAATTTCACCGGAATTACTAATCACCAAGAAGTGATCCCCTCTTGGTTAGAGTAAAGAAAGGAATATTATTCATCCACCCAGGACTTGGTGCCCCACACCTGGCATACTGCATTCCAAGTCACTTTGCTGACTGCTGCTGAGGAGTACTCCCTGTGTGCCCAGATTGAGTCCTAGGTGGACACATTGCTCAAGATTGCAGTCTTGAAGCCTCAGGTAGTTCCCTGGGATAGTTGTTCTGAGCAGCAGGTGCATCTCCTTCCCAAAGGCACTGACACATCTGTGTTTCCTTTGGCAGATGGCTTGGTGTCTTATAATGCTCCAGCTGGACAGCAGTTTGTACTACCAGGAGGCTCCATCATTTATCTGAACGATTCTGTCTATGATGGGGCCGTTGGGTACAGGTAAATTCTGTATTGTTCTGGGAACAATAATCAATGACTCAATCAGTCAACTAGCCAATGTTTATTTAGCCCTTATACTAGGCATTGTGAGATAAATTTAGACGAAGTAAAATATGTAGTCTTTATTTGGAAGGAACTAAGAGCCTAGTTTGGGAAGACAAAGTAATCAGAAGGAAAACAACAAATTATACAAAGTAAGGGCTAAACTTTGTGGTATGGCTCTAAGTACGGTAGCCATAATTTTTGACCCTCAAAACAAGATGTGTGGTCTGACAAAAATAATAGCCTACTTATGGAAACAAAGGGACAGAAGATTTGAAGTTACAAGTATAATAAACTGGACAGGTAAAGAAGTTCAGAAAGAATGAACCCCAGAAATGTAAATGCTTTAGAAATTGTGAAAAGAAGGAGACTATTAAGGCTTACAATAGACAAGAAAAGATTCTAGGATGAGATGATAATTGGAGCAGAGGAGGTAGGTAGAGGGGAGCAGAAGAAGGGAATCAGGGATGAGGACCAGAATGGCCTGACTATAGCAAAAGCTAGAACTGGGAACAGCAGAAGGGCCAATGGATCCATGAAATGAACCAAGGGAGGGCCATGGTGAAGTATGTTCAGATACAGAATGAACTTAGGGTTGGATAAGAGATGTTCCCACCTATCCCAATTCACTCCAAGTCTTGCCGTTCTTCTTCTACCCCACTTCAACACTTTTCTCTCTTAGGTTAATCTTTGTCTGCAAAGATTGAGCCTGGCAGAGAAGTTAGACCATAGTGAAGTCCACACCAGATGGTGGAGGTTGCTGGTGGTTGAGAGAGAGATTATTGAGTCTCAGGAAGAGGAGTGTGGAATTACAGCACTTCCATTGTCTTGGGTGTGAAGAATAAACTGCTGCCCTCCAGCTTCCATGCCTTGTGTGAAGCTTCCATGCCCCACTCATCCAGTCTTCTATTACTAATCACTTCCTCTCCATCTGCTTAGTCACTGTTCTTCCCCTTTTACATAATCTGTCTTGGCATCATTTCACTTAGCCACACCCAACTGCCATCAACTCAAGGCACAGAGGAAATCAGAGGTCAATTGAATTCAGTTTAGTTTAGTGAGTGTTTGCTAATCAACTGTTACTATGTGCAAGGAATTTGGTAGGGATTCAAATATAATAAAGTCGTTGGTCCTACCTTTAAGAAGCTCACAGTTAGGAGTGGGGACTAAACCAGGATATAAATTACTATGATACAAGCATAAGAGTAAGAGATACACAATGAGTGCTTTGGGATTCAAAGAAACAAGGAAGCTATAGAAGGAAAACAGAGCATTGGGAGTGAAAACACCTGGATTCATGTCATAAAATTATTTCTGTTTGCTATGAGGCTGAAGTGATAAAAAAAAAGTATATAAGGAAAGCATTTTGTAGAGATAATGTGCTATATACATGTAAGTTATTATCTGATTGGAGGACCAGTTAAAACATAATAGAATAGAGGGAATCTGAAATGACCCCAAAGGATGGGTAGAACTTTCACAGGCAAAGAATCTTGAAATGGCATTTTAGGCAGAGGGAATACCATGATGACAAAAGAATCATGGTTGTAAAGTTTAGGGGAATGTCTGGGAAAGATCAGCAGTTTAGTTAACCATGGGCCATATTTATGTAGCAAGGCAGTACATTAGAAGCATAGCAAGGCGGATTTTGTCATATTTTGGAGGAACTTGAATGTCAGGGCCAGGAAGAAGAGGGGAGGAGGAGTTGTTCTTTACCAACATCATCAACGCAATGTGTCACTGAAGGTTTTTAAAGCTGGGGAAGAGCATGATGGGAGCTGTGCTTCAGACAGATTAATCAAGCTGCATTCAAAGGTTAGATTTGAATAGGAAGGGAGGAGATGAGGGGGACATTTTCTAATTCCAAATTCTGTCAGATTAAAAGAATTAATGACCCAGGCCATAATGCTGACTGTGGGAATGGGAATGAGAAAGATACTCATTTAGGGAATATTTGTAGTCTGATTGGATACAGGGGGCAAGACAGTAATGTGAGAAAAAGAGTTAGATGAAACAATAGTCTAAAACAATGGAGACAACATTTATTCATTCAACAAACATATTTTGAATGCTTATCATGTGCCAGGGACCCTTAGTGGATATGGAAGAGAAGTATAATTGACAGAATTGGGAAACCTAGGTGAAAGACTTAGTTTAGAAAGGGATGATGATGGATTCAGTTTGGAATATAAGTTCAAGGGACTGACAGGACATTCAAATAGAGAAATAAGGCAGGTAACTGGAAATATGGCTCTGGATGAACCCCAGAGGAAAGATAACAAAATAATCACAGACATTTAGACACAGCCAGCCTCCATCTAATAATTGAGGTCATGAGCTACCTAGCTGGGGGGTGGCTAAGTGATGAGATACAGAGTTACCTAATTCAAGCTCTCAGGAAATAAATAGTCATAGTAGCAAAAGTTACTTATTTAAATTTTAAAAAAATTCTAAAAGTAATATATACTGTTGTAGAAATTCTAACAATTCTAAAGTATATGAAGTAAACAGGGAAAGTTTCTTTCCTTATTGATTAAATTTTGATGAAAGAGAAGTTGAATAAGCATTCCTTCTAATTTGTACTGCTTTTCTGAAGACTTTCACGGGGATTTATTTTTCTGGGGATAATGGGAAATATATTCATTGCAAGTAAACTTATGTTCTCCTAGCCTTCTGATCTGTAGAGAGAAGAAAAAGATGGCAAAACCTTGGAAGGGAGATCCAGGCTCTGGTCACTGTGGATAAGGCCAGTCAAATTTTATAATTTGCCAAACATTTTTCAGTGAACAAATATATTTAAAAATGTACCTGTAAGGCTGGCATAATCACTCTTAATCCTTCTTTTTTTTTTTTTTTGGTAATTCACAAATTTTACATAACATTGGTCTGCCTATAACCTCATGGGTCATATAGATTATTGCTTGAGTGTGAATATCCCAGTCTCTTCATTTGGGAGACTCTTGACATATCTTCCAGAGCTCGAGGAGAGAGAAGTTCCACACGATGGGTTCTTGTTCTGTCCCTCCATAAACAGAAGGAAGGAGGTCTCTTTATGTTCTTCACATAGTCAAATTAACATCAATACACATCCATCCCACCCAGCAGTCAGGCTTCTGGCAAACTCAGCCATTCAAACAGAGCCTTACACTCGGAAGTGAAAAGGGTGCCAAGCTAGAAAATAAAACGAAATCCAGTGCCTGAGACTCTCATGTGGTCCATGCATTTTACTCCATGAGTCTAGTATTCTTCAAATGTAATTAAAGTTAAATGTAAATCAGTATTTAAATTTGTTAGAAGTTACTTTTTCCCCCTTTTGTTCGATATCGAATCAAGTTGTTGGAGATGTGGGGTAGAAGAAGGCATGACTGGCTTCCCTGGATTTGATTCACTGAACAATGACAACATGCAGTCAAAGGAAGAGTCAGAAAAGTTTCCAACCAGCTCTGGGACCATTTATTTAGTGATGAGCAAGTGCCACCATCTGCTGTAGTATTTGTTCTATGCATTCATTCATTTACTCCTTAATGGATGAATTAGTCAAATGCATTTGATAATATTGAATCATTATATAAAGACTTGTTAAGTATATAAGAACAGGTAAGGATACAATAGATCATAGAAAGCTTTTCATATAAAATGATTTTAAAAAGGTGTTTCAAAGCTTTGCTATTATAGAGTTAAGCATCAAATAGTTTGTAAAATTCATTTATATGAAATTCTTAGTTCTCCACTGATGCAGGATAAATGAGTCAGTACTACAAAATATATTGGATTTTTCATAATTCTTCAACCTCCAAGATAATCAGCTCTTACAAAACCTGGGGTGAAGAAACTGGGTAAAAGCTCTTCCATGAATATGTAATTAACTCCAGGTTCCTCTCTCCCTTTTCCTTCTCCTCTTTTGGCTTGAGCAGCATGACTGAAGGGCTGGGCCAATTGACCGATGGGGTGTCTGGCCTGGATGATTTCACCCAGACCCACGAGTACCATGTGTGGCCAGGCTATGACTACGTGGGCTGGAGAAATGAGAGTGCCACCAATGGTTACATCGAGATCATGTTTGAGTTTGACCGCATCAGGAATTTTACTACTATGAAGGTCAGTGGAGTTAGGCGTAGAAGCCAAAATCATGGTGTAGGGAAAAAGCATGCTGGAAAGAACCCTAGGGTGGTACCAGCAGAATGGCATTCAAGCACATATTCTGCTGCTAACTAGCTGCACACATCTCTTGAGTCACTTCATCTGTCTGGGCTTGTTTCTTCATTTGTAAATAAGGATGTTAGATTAGGTCACTGTTTCACAATGTATTTGGCTGTTGTTGTTGTCTCAACACCAGAGTGGACATATCCGTTATGCAAAGTGGGCACAGTGTCTGGGACCCACGATACTTGTAAGGCCCATGGAAATGGGCCTTTAACTTCTTTTACTGTCAGAATAAAAGAAAAGAGCCTTAACGTTGAAAGTTTTTACCTTTTTAACAAAACAGTTGTAAAATATAATTTTAACATATTTTCTGTGGAGGGAGTGGCCCACAAAGGCAGTAGTGATGAGGGCCCTTGGAAGTCATTCCATGGCCCCACCCAGCCCTCTGCAGGGAGGGGACACACTCTTACCAGTAAGCGTGTCTCATTGCAGCTCTGATTCTCAATGGAAGAAGAAGGAGCTTTGTATTTTGAACCACTTCCCATCCCTGAGTGTTTCCTCCATGCCCACAGCACTAAGAAATCACGACAGAAGATCCCATACTGTTCTGTTCCCAGAGTTCTTTGTTTCCTATCTATTATCATTTATCTGTCTATGTGTCTGGTTCTCTTACTAGACCTCAAGCTCCTTCTCAGACTCTGCTTTCTGGTCTTTGTACCCAAGCGTCTGACACTTAATATATACAGGCTCAATAAATGTTTGCAAGTGAACAAATGATATACTTTATTGCCTACTCTAGCCATTTATGGTTATAAATATCTCTGCCACCTGGGGTAGAAGGAGGAGGAGATATGATGAACATCAGTAAGACACTGAGAATATAATAGTATTTTCCTAACTATAAACAGAAACTTGAAGAAGGACTGGGGCCAGGCAGAAGGAATCACTGTGACTCCTGGCTGGGCCACCATCCGGATTCTAGACCTCAGGCCCAGGGTTTCAGTTTGTCTTCTCTGTGGGACCTCCGTGACTCTTTGCCCAGTCAGAAGAGTTGGTTATCCAATGAGTGAGATTCAAGGGTGAAATGAGGTGGTTTTTCTAAGGCCTCAAATGTAAATTATTAGGTTTTTGGGTTTGTTTTTTCTGAAACACCATCACCCAGAAGTCTGTATTAAAATGCAAGTATTTTACCTCAGGGAGAGTAAAACAATAAAAAAAATTAATGTCTTAAATGCAATAGCAGAAGTTATTTTATCAGTTAACTATTACAGAGTAGTTAAGAGTGAGTAGGTAAATTTCATTGAGTACTTGGATGGAAGCTGAAAGACCTGGGAGAAGCCCAGACTGGGTGTGCTCTGGAGAGAGGTAAGTGCAGACCATGAGAAGAACTGGAGGAGGGGACTTAAGGCCTGATTTCCATTTTCTCTGGGGTAGGGCCTTTCAGGAGAGCCTACCCTGGATGTAAGGGTTGAGGACCTTTCCGTTGGTATGGTGAGTTTCCTGATACTTAGCTCAAATGATAGTTTTTCCTTTTTTCTTACTCAATCCCAAGTATGTTTCAGAGAGAAAGGAATGGAAGAAAAGTCCATGCAAAAAGTGACCAGATTAGACGTTAAACCTGAATTCTAGGTTCTGGGGGTAAACAGATGAATAAGAAATGGTCCCTACCTTGGGTCAATTTGCAGTTCAGTGGGGGAAGACACTATTTATTTGCAAAAGAAGGTATGTAGAATGACATGGGGACACTGAAGAAGGGAAACTGTATCATTCCCAATAAATAAAAATTTGTTATTCTTGGCACAAACCTGGAGTCAAAAAGAAAATGCATGTCTACTACATCACTCTCACATGTTAAGATGATAATATCTCCTAGTTGGATTAATAGCTATTAGGTAAATGATGAGAACAGAAGGATCAACACATACCCAATCTGCCAGTGTGTTGCTCAAAATGGCTCTTGGGAAGTTGTAAAATGTGTGTGAAATCGTGTGTTAACACGTTATTCTTTACAGGTTTTTGGGGGGGTGGAGGGAAATATGCCCAGTAACAAAACTATGTATGCTTCAAGGAAAAATTTATTTGTATTGCTGAATAATGTGTATACCCAATATGTACCTATGAACATGTGTATCAATTCATTATAGCTCATTGGGAGAATTTCTAGTCACAAAAATAATAAAATGTATTTTAAAGTCCCCATAAAGTTATAATATTTGCTCAATTGACTTTGATCTTCCTGAGTCCCCAGGAGCTCCTGTTTAACTAGTTTATCACAGATCAAAATTATTCAAAAGCATATGTCTGCATTTAGAAGGTGCCAGAAACCTCTCAGGAGCTGACTCAGAGCTAGTCTTCTCAGGACTAGCAGGCCAAGCAGGTGTCTACCATATTTTAATTTTTCTGAGACAAATGAGAAGTAAAAGACGACTTTCAGGTCACTGAAGTCTTCTAGAGAGTAGTTTTTTACTTCTTAGGCAAAGTACTGCGTATTTCCCTCCCTACTCTGATTATAGTTAAAATACAGCATTTAAAAGAAAATCAACAACCCAATCCAAAAATGGGCAGAAGACCTAAATAGACATTTCTCCAAAGAAGATATACAGACTGCCAACAAACACATGAAAGAATGCTCAACATCATTAATCATTAGAGAAATGCAAATCAAAACTACAATGAGATATCATCTCACACCAGTCAGAATGGCCATCATCAAAAAATCTAGAAACAATAAATGCTGGAGAGGGTGTGGAGAAAAGGGAACCCTCTTGCACTGTTGGTGGGAATGTAAATTGATACAGCCACTGTGAAGAACAGTATGGAGGTTCCTTAAAAAACTACAAATAGAACTACCATATGACCCAGCAGTCCCACTACTGGCCATATACCCTGAGAAAACCAAAATTCAAAAAGAGTCATGTACCAAAATGTTCATTGCAGCTCTATTTACAATAGCCTGGAGATGGAAACAACCTAAGGTCCATCATCGGATGAATGGATAAAGAAGATGTGGCGCATATATACAATGGAATATTACTCAGCCATAAAAAGAGACGAAATTGAGCTATTTGTAATGAGGTGGATAGACCTAGAGTCTGTCATACAGAGTGAAGGAAGTCAGAAAGAGAAAGACAAATACCGTAAACTAACACATATATATGGAATTTCAGAAAAAAAAAACTGTCATGAAGAACCTAGGGGTAAGACAGGAATAAAGACATAGACCTACTAGAGAATGGACTTGAGGATATGGGGAGGGGGAAGGGTAAGCTGTGACAAAGCGAGAGAGAGGCATGGACATATATACACTACCAAACGTAAGGTAGATAGCTTGTGGGAAGCAGCCGCATAGCACAGGGAGATCAGCTCGGTGCTTTGTGACCGCCTGGAGGGGTGGGATAGGGAGGGTGAGAGGGAGGGAGATGCAAGAGGGAAGAGATATGGGAACATATGCATATGTATAAGTGATTCACTTTGTTATAAAGCAGAAACTAACATACCATTGTAAAGCAATTATACTCCAATAAAAACAAAACAAAACAAAACAAATAAAAAAGAAAAGAAAATCAAATCCACAAAGCATTTAGAAAATGAAAAATTACATATATCAAAACAAATGGGATACATATAAAACCACACTGAATAAAATTCATGGTACTGAATACATTATTATTTTTTTAAATCTTTATTGGAGTGTAATTGCTTCACAATACTGTGTTAGTTTCTGTTGTACAACAAAGTGAATCAGCCATATGCATACATATATCCACATATCCCCTCCCTCTTGAGCCTCCCTCCCACCCTCCCTATCCCACCTCTCTAGGTCATTGCAAAGCACTGAGCTGATCTCCCTGTGCTATGCTGCTGCTTCCCACTAGCTGTCTATTTTACATTCGGTAGTGTATATATGTCGATGCTACTCTCACTTTGCCCCAGCTTCCCCCTTCCCCCCTACCCCACGTCCTCAAGTCCATTCTCTATGTCTACATCTTTATTCCTGCCCTGCCACTAGGTCTATCAGTCTAACATCAAAGATAAATGCATAAACCAATTAATTAAAGTCAGAAAACTATAGAAATGATCATAAATCCAAGATCTTATTTTTGGAAAAATAGAAAAAATTTTACTATACAAATCAAGAAAAAATAAATTGAAAGAGATTCTGAAACATATATATTTATATATAAATGCATTTTAAAATATATTCTATTACATAAATATGTTAAGTCCACAGGCGAATGAAATCCTATGCTATTTACTTGCATTCTAGAAGGATTCGCAAAACATCTGTAGGAAAGATTATTACCTTCCCCACAGGCTACTTATCCAACACTTTGCAGATTTCAAAACATCTGTAGTTGGTATTTCTTTGATTTTGTTCTTAGCCTTGTTCCATTTACTTGTGTTCAATAAACTAGAATTGTTAATTCATCCCAAGGAAGGTACAACAAAAAAGCTACCTTCCTAAAGGCCTTTTTTTCTCATCTCAGAAAACATCTATGAGGAAGATTTGAGGCTTTCATCAGAATGGCTTTACCTAAGCTGAATTAATTAAGAGAGATAATTAAGTTTTGTGTCTCTGGCTGACAAATGCTAATACCCGGCAGTGGAAATGAGATTTCTAAAGAGAAAGATGAAATTATATTGGATTGTGTATTATTTCAGGTTTCTCATCGAAACCTGTTGAAAGAAGTGGACTGGCTTTGGAATGTACATAGGAGAAAGTAGTTCAGAGTAGCTCCATTCTGGGCAGATAGCAACCGTGGTTGAGAGGACTGGAGTGGTTGGGTTATAGAGCAGAGAGAGTTCAGGGCAAGGAAGGAACTGAGAGGATGCTGGTCCAGCCCTCATTTAACAGGTAAGGACACTACTCCCAGCAGCATGCAGTGAGGTAGCCAGAGGAGCACAATTGCAAAGAGGTGGCTGGGGTAGCAGCCCAGGTTTTATAAGGTATCACTGCCACTGTGAGATTCCTAGAAGGGAAAAACGCAAGACTGCAGAGCACCAATTATTCACCAAGGGTGGTGATCAGAGAAATTTGGCAGGTCTAAGATCTTACTGGGTTAGGTTGCAGTGTGTCCCTAGTGCCACCCAACAGGGTCACCCTGTCACTCACATGCCTCTTTCTCTGCCAGGTCCACTGCAACAACATGTTTGCCAAAGGTGTGAAGATTTTTAAGGAGGTACAGTGCTACTTTCGCTCTGAAGCCAATGAATGGGAACCTAACGCTGTCTCCTTCCCCCTTGTCCTGGATGACGTCAACCCCAGTGCTCGGTTCGTCACGGTGCCCCTCCACCACCGCATGGCCAGTGCCATCAAGTGCCAATACCATTTTGCTGACACCTGGATGATGTTCAGTGAGATCACCTTCCAATCAGGTTGGGAGCTCGGGGGCCCCTTAGGGAACTGGGAGCAGGGTGGTGAAGGAGGAAGGCAGTGTCCAGAGCTTCTCACGGGCGGGTGTCTGAAAGGAGGACGGTTGTACAGGTGGCTTCTCATGGGTAGAGAGAGGGACTCTTTTCTGCGACTAGTGTAGTTGTGGAAGGGTAGGGATGAGGATGTAGAAGTGGACATAATGTTTACTTGGCTCTCACACACATTTGTCTAAAAGAGATGTAAGATAAAGGATTAAAGAAAATGAGTACAATGTGTTAAAAACCTTTATGTAAATCAAGCCAGTTAAGGGGAAGGGCACCTAAACATTATTAAAATATTTAAATGAAGATGTCTAAATAAAAGTAAAGAGAACAATAAACCCCCATCCATCACCTAGCTTTACTAACCATTGATTTTTTTTGGTCATGCTTGTTTCCTTTATCCCTCCCTTTTTGGTGTAGTATTTTGAAGCAAATCTGAGACATTATTTGATTTCACTACTAAAATTTTAGAATACACCTGAGAAAATAACATTACCTTCATAATAATGCCATTATTACATCCAACAAATTTATTAGTAAATAATTCCTTAATATAATATAATAGCCAGTCCACATTCAAGTATCCCTGATTATCAAATAGTGTCTTACTACAGTTGGCTTGATTGAATTAGGATCCAACTAATTAGGCCCTCTTGGTGTATTTCCTTTATTATATTACTAGGTGGTATCTCTGTTAACCTAAAACAGTTTTTTAAAAATAATTCCATTCTGGTTTTGCTGATTACTTTCTGTGGTGTAATTTTACTGGAGCTTCTATCCTCTGTCATCCTGTGGACTGGTGGTTATATCTACAGGTGAACTTGATTCAAATTCAGTATTCATTTTTGCCAAGGATTTTTCATGGTTAGTGCTGTGTACTCTATGCTGAACCTCATCATGGGGATGTTACGTTAGAATCTCTTACTTTTAGTGATGCTAAGATTGATCTCTGGGCTCAGGTGGTTATCCTTTCATTGAAAAGTTCCCAATGACCTTTCTCCTTAGGTTTTATCCTCCATTGATGACCAGTGCTTAAATTATTTCATTAGGAGTTGCTAAATGGTGATTTTCTAATTCTTTTATTCCTTCTGCATTTATTACCTGAGTTTCTTCTGAATAGGAGAACTATTCCCCATATGCTTGTTAACCCTGAAATACAGTTCATGTTGGAAGGGCAGCATACATAATTAATTTTTTCATCAATTTACAGAGTAATGAGTCAATGCTCTAGCAACCTTCAGTGGTATCTAATAGATTTTATTTTGGTTTTCATCCTCACTAACATTAAAGAGGACACATTTTTAGAGGTGTGTTTAAAAAAAGGATTTTTAAAAAATTTACTTATTTGGTTGCGCTGGGTCTTAGTTGCAGCAGGCGGGCTCCTTAGTTGCAGCTTGCAGGCTTCTTAGCGGTGGCTCGCCAGCTCCTTGGTTGCAGTACATGTGTTCCTTAGTTGCGGCATGCGAACTCTTAGTTGCAGCGTGCATGCAGGATCTAGTTCCCTGACCAGGGATCGAACCCAGGCCCCCTGCATTGGGAGTGCGGAGTCTTATCCACTGTGCCCCAGGGAAGTTCCCTCTGAGGATTTAAATCTTATGACAGGATTCTTTACCTGCCTTAGAGAAGCATCCATCTCTTAATCAAAATAGAAGTCACTAAGTATTATATATGTACAGTTGACCCGTGAACAACATGGGTTTGAACTGCACGGGTCTATCTCTATATGGATTTTTTTCCACAGTAAATATTACAGTACTACACAATCCACAGTTGGTTGAATCCATGGATGCAGAACCTCGGATATGGAAGAACCGTGTACATGGAGGGCTGATTTTAAGTTATATGCAGATTTTCCACTGCGCAGAGTACTCAGTGCCCCTAACCTGCACGTTGTTCAAGGGTCAATGGTACATCTCAAAGAGGAATATAATTACTTAATTCAGTACAGTTTCTTCCTGAGAATCTCTTCTTTTTTATTCTACTAACCAGAGTCCTTTTAGACACTGTCTTGAATCTCAGTCTTAAGGATTTGACTTTACAGCACTTATCTAATTGTTCCTTGTATATCTCCTTCACTGTTACTTCCTCTTTATACCATATACTACTTACAATGAACATGTGTGCATTCATGCATAAAACATTATTGAGCATCTACTATATACCATGCACTGTCTTATTTATTAGGTTACAATGACAAACAAGACAATGCCCTTGACCTAAAGGTGCCCAATGTTTCATAGAAGATGGATGAGTAAACTTAAAATATGAAACACTGTGGTATGTACTAAATGATATAGGCACTGGGTACTATGGAGACAAAGAAGAAGTAAATCCAAATCAGACTTAGGCAGGAGTATATTATTTGGGGTAGGGTGGGCTACTGTAACAAATACTCCAATAACTTATTATTGCTGCCTAATTATTATTTATTATTACTGATAGTCTTTGCATATTCTAATTCTTGACCCCCTTGATTAGACAAGTCAGAGGGGAAAATTAGTTACCAACATCAATCTGTCAAATACACTTTTGGGAGCTAGTCCTAGAAGCTTCAACATCACTGTAAAGGGGACTCTATTTCTAAGGAAGAAGGCTTAATTTATAAATTAAAGAGCTAGGACTCTGAGGCATAGTGAAAACTCTTTTGTAAAACACTGTAATTTCCTTGAAGGGAAAGCGCATCTGAACCCTATGTCTGTCCTATGTCTACTTACCCATTGTATTCTCTCTACATTTTGTTGAATTTGGATCTCACTTCCTATGCATGATTTATGATAATGTGTGGTCACAGCCCTCTCTTTAACTTTTTTGTACCATGACACTTAGTAGGTAATAATTGAAACAAAATTTTTACAAAAGAAAAGTTACCCTTACTATTTAGATGAATGGCAATATTTTTTACTTAATATATTATATGATTTAATTTCTAAGAAAGGCTTGTAGCAAGCCAGTAAATCGATTTCACAAAGTGCTAGCTTACAACCTGCCTTCAGAAAAACCACTATCGAGCTGTCTTCTTCCCAGCTCTGACTCACCCTTGTTTTGTGACAGATGCTGCTATGTACAACAACTCTGGAGCCCTTCCCACATCGCCTGTGGCACCCACAACCTATGGTATGTATGCTTCTTGGTTATAAAAATTAAGTTGAAGGGACCTCCTGGAGGATGAAGAAGGGTGGAGATTTGCAAAGGCTTGACTGTGTAGCAGGCTTGATACCAGGTGGCTTTCAATGAAGAGTAGCTCTGGAAAGATAGGACAGACCACCTCCAAAGTTAAGGGCCCAACCTCACTCTCTTCCCTGCTGGTCCATGTGATTCTTCTGCTGAGGCAGAGTCTGGAGCTGTTCCAACTGCTTCTTAGAAGTTTGGGAAGCTTGGAGCCAAAACAGGGAAAGGGATATTTCTAGGTGAGACCCATTGTAGGGATCTCAATGAATGAATGGAACAAAAAGCTAGTCTCTCCAACTGGAGAGAAATATGGAAAAGTGTATGCATTGCTTCAAACAGTCACTGGCTGTATAAGTCAGCAATCTGAGAAACACGTAATCAAGTGTCTCCAAAGAGGACTCTCAGCTGCCTTGGCATGTCTCAATGCAGAGTGAAACTGATTCTTCACCTGTTTTTCATGAGGTGTGATTAGGGGCCATGGTATAAAGGGAGCAAAATTTTGGGAGGAATGGAAAACCTCTCCATTATCCAGTCTAATACATGAGGAAGAGGAAGCTACTGTCCCATGGAGGAGGGCTGTAGAATATAAGAGCACAGGAATACAAGAGTAGCAAGACCAAGTGTTAAGTGGTATCTTGTGGAATTATCCTGAAGGAATAGGTTCTGCCTTCTCATCTCTAGTCCAAGTCCTTATGCCCTTCCTTGCCCCTTGAGATGATAATATTCTTCGTCCTTCTTTTCCTGGTTACAGATCCAATGCTTAAAGTTGATGACAGCAACACTCGAATCCTGATTGGCTGCTTAGTGGCCATAATCTTCATCCTCCTGGCTATCATTGTCATCATCCTCTGGAGGCAGTTCTGGCAGAAAATGCTGGAGAAGGTGAGGAAGTGCAGGACAATCACGGGGTAGGAAGCGGCTCCATCCTTTCCTGTGCTGCTTCGTTAATATCCAAGCCAAGTTTCTCACAGTTCTATTCCTACTTCTTTTTGTACTGGAAAGTTATGGTTGGGGAGAACCTGTCAGTCCAGTGGTTAGGACCCTGTGCTTCCACTGCAGGGAGCACATGCTTCCCCGCTGGTTGGGGAACGAAGATCCTGCATGCCACATGGTACGGCCCCCAAAAAAGAAAGTTATGGTTATGCATCCTTCTGAGTGCCTCCTCAGATTCTTTTAGTCTAGGCCAAATGATCTATATACTTTCTATTACATTTGTCGAACACTTTACAGTCTGCAAAGACTTTTTCCTTGATCTTACTTGAACCTCACTGAATAATTGTGAGTTGGGCAGAGTAGTGACATTTAACTGTTTTGCTGATGAGAAAATGTGATGTGCTCAAGGTCATACAGTTAATATCCTGCTTTCTATGCTTGTTCTAATGGTCAGTCTTGAAATTTGTTGACTTCTTTTCTTCTAAAATATATACCTTTCACCACGGATGGAATATCTACGACTTTTCTTGGTGTCTTAGACCAGATAGCAATTCTGGGCACTGCTGCTAAATGTGTGATACTCTTGGGGTTGGCTGATGATAGAGTGTTTCTACCTTTAGTCATGGACATTGTCCCTGGTCAGCGAGCTCAAATGGATGTGGACTCTGAGAGATCATAGATACTCTGGGCTGTGAGGCTTTGAGGTGCCCATCGAGGGCAGGGAACAGGAGGGAGGGAATAGGCTGATTGTGTTTATAGCCTAAATATTTGGGGATGGGATCTCAGGAGACCAGTGCTTATGTAGATTACATACCAGACAAAGGGAAAGGGCACTTTGAGAATGGACTGGAACCTTCTGAACTCTTTGTGGGTAGGACAAGAGGAAGGGGCTGAAATCAGAAAAGTGAGGGGAATGACCCAGACAAGTAGCGTGCAATTCCTTCTGATGTGTTACACATTCAAGTTCTGAGATGATTGAGGTTTATTTTAAGGACTTTAGGCAGGAATATTTCACAGAAGAGAGGGTCTCTTTGCTTCCCACAGAGACTTCTAACATTAGTCTAAAAATAAATTAAAGGTTTCAATCCATAAATAGTGACTGAAGGCTGAAAGGCAGAATCCACAGAGAGCTCACCCACTGGCATGATGAGGCAACATCAAAACCTTTTGTCTTTTAGAATGCTAGAACACACGTGGTATCTAAATTCCAGGATACGGGGTAGCAGAGAGTGGTGGTGGTAGCAGCTGATGGTCTGTGGTTCATCGGACAGCTGGAAGCTGTGTTCTTACTGAACAGTCTGTTATGACTGCATTTTAGTTGATGGGGGAGAGTCTGTGTTCTCTTCTCTGTGAGCTATTTTTCTCTTTATTTGAGCCAGAATTTACCACTCTTTGAGTCTTTCTTCTGAGTCCCACTGGCATATATTCATGGTCTGGGAGAAGAATTTTGGATTGGAGACTCTCCAGGTAAAAGGGAGAACAAAAATTTTGCCCTTGAATAGTTAACTTGGTCCTTCAAGAAATTCTTTCTGTCCCTGTACATCCTGAGTAAGATAACTCAAGATGCTCTGGAATGACACAGGATTTCTTCTGGGGGAAAGAATTTTTTTGTAGAAGACCCTTAAGCATACCTATGTATTCCAAATACATTGCTCAAAATAGCCTTATGCTGTAGCATTATCTGCAGGATACTTACAGTGGTGTCCTCAGAATTCTCTCTTTGAGAGAGTCAACCGATATTTATTGAGTACCTGGTATGTGCTGGGCTGCATGCTCAGTACTGAGGATATTACTGCAACAAAGGAACTCTCAGTCTAGGGTATGGAGCAGACATCTAAGTTTCTCCACTGAGCACCCAAAGTGTGTTTGTTGGAGTTGAACGTTTCATGTGTTTAAATCCAAACAGTCACCTATACTTAGATTATGAGATTTTCCTTTTGAAGGAGCAGGCAGGTCATATTAAATAGAATGACAGAACAATTAGCTGTTTTATTCTTCTTATTCCTGTGTTAGGTGTAATTCATGTTAGTATCCCTAGCACCTAGGGCTTTCCTTTCTTATTTTGTAGCCATTTTATTTTTGGTTAGTGAAAATGCAGGGTCAAGCGGGTATTACCCTAATCTACAATGCCAGAGTGGTCAGGTGAACTACAGATTCATCATGTTACAGCACATTTGTTACGTTAATAAGCATTTTAATTTATGCCTACACAAAATCAATCAGTTGAGTGGTGTCAGGAAAACCCATCATTTAAAAGAACATTGAAAACTCTAAGACTGAGAAACTCTTTGATTGGCTACTGATAGGTTCTAATGGTGTCACGTGAATAATGCTCGTAAGTGTTTCAATGGAAGTTAATTAAAGTTGGCAGTGCAGAAATTTGGAAGTCAAATTCTGCCTTGAAGAAACGAAAGATGATTCTGAGTTTCTACAACACAGGCATTTGTGGAACCAGACTGAATCCCTGTCACTTGCATTGCTTCTGGAGTTTGAGTATTAGAGAGTTATTTCATCTGAGTGGACGAGCTGGGTTTAAGAAGAGGAGGGAGTGATGATCCCTTTTGTGTCAACATGCCTTTCTCCCCTGTCCTTCTCTTTCAGGCGTCCCGGAGGATGCTGGATGATGAAATGACAGTCAGCCTTTCCCTGCCAAGCGAGTCCAGCATGTTCAACAATAACCGCTCCTCATCGCCAAGCGAGCAGGAGTCCAACTCCACTTACGATCGCATCTTTCCCCTTCGCCCTGACTACCAGGAGCCGTCCAGGCTGATACGGAAACTCCCAGAATTTGCTCCAGGGGAGGAAGAATCAGGTGAGGATGAAACAGTGAGCAGAAAATTGAGGGACAAGATTTATGAAGGTGTGACACTATTGCTTCTACCCAACCAAGTCTAATTTTAGCCTAGAGAAGTCCACCTTCTCCTGGGAAGTCCACACTGTCTTTCTAGATTTGGTCTACTGCTGCTCCTAATTGAATCTGGACATCTCTCCTTTGCTACTGCACGTAGCAAATGTTTGGAGGGACCCACATGTCAGAAGAAGAAAAATAAATAAAATGCGTTCCTAAGGCATTAACACCAGAAGAACCTAAACAGTCCAACTAGTCCAACCTTCTCATTTTTTATAGGAGGAAAGTGAGAAGGCCCAGTTAAGGTACTCGCCCAACATCAAACAGCAATAGGGGTAAATTCAGGACTAGAATTTCACTTGGAGAAAAAACAACGAAGCTAAAGAGATCCTAGAATCCCCAGGTTTTAGTCCCCTAGATAATTGAGTTATTTAACTTTTGTTCATTTCTCTTTGGTGAAAATTTACTTGACTAATACAAGATTTTATTATGAGAGCAAATATTTCTTGTCTTTTCTCAATAAAGCGTTGCTTCGGTAAAATGGTGCCAATTGATTCACATTCCAGTGTCTTTTAAAAAGAGCTGCAGAGTGACATCAGAGGGGATGCTGGGGTCATCGCTGAGGCTCAGAGCAGCTTTTCTGTCCATAATGTCAGCATCCGAGGAGTGACCCCAGTCAGTGGAAGAGGACTGACTGATGGTGTTCAGGGGAGAGCTGACTGGAGAAGTAGCAGGACTAACCATGAGAGCAGAGGCTTTTCAAGGGAGTCCTTCCAAAGGAAGAGAGGAAACTAATGTGTATTTACCACTCAGTGGATAGCAAACATTGAAGGAGCATATTGAACTACGGGAATTTTACAGAGACAGCAAGAATAGGGATGTAATTTATTTCCTAGGCTGTAGCAAAGTGATCTACCTACTTTCTGAAGTCTAAAACATCCCCCCTCATATTTTAATATTTTTTTAAGTTAGGATCTGTCTTAAGCTAGATCATATAAATTTAATCACAGTTTTTAATCCCTGAAATAGGTTATTAAAATCAGCGACTATATCTTAAAAGTAAGGAAATATGCCATTAAATCCTAAAACTTTAATACTCCTACCCTAACTAGTATAGCGAGCCTTCCTGGAGCTTCACCACAATTCCACAAGATTAACCAAGGAGGTTATTAATGATCACGTAGTTATGAGGAGAAGATAAGAGATAAAATGGTGCCTACATTCTGGAGGCCACGAGAAAGAACCTCCAGAGGAACCATTCTCCAAGTAAGAATGTCATGGCGTAGGTTAGGCTGTCTTGGGGGCATGTTTTAGCTCTCCTCTCATATTTCCTTTCTTGAAGATATCTCCAAAGAGGCCCCTTGGAACGAGACTCATTGTCCTTGTCTTCGCAGGCTGCAGTGGCATTGTGAAGCCAGTCCAGCCCAGTGGGCCTGAGGGTGTGCCCCACTATGCAGAGGCTGACATTGTGAACCTCCAGGGGGTGACTGGAGGCAACACCTACTCCGTGCCTGCCATTACCATGGACCTGCTCTCGGGGAAAGATGTGGCTGTGGAAGAGTTCCCCAGGAAACTCTTAACTTTCAAGGAGAAGCTGGGAGAAGGCCAGTTTGGGGAGGTGAGCTGATTCTTTGAGTGGGGCCTCCAGTCCTTGGTCGTTCAAAGGAAGTGGTTGAATAAAAATGGTCAGTAGAGCAAACTGTCCCATCCAAAGTGGATTCACACCAAATGTCTCCTCCACTTGTCTCTCCTTGCATTGTTCTCTAGAAGACTAGTATTGGTCAGCCTCATCTTTGTCAAACAGCTGTGGAAATCCTGGGAATTCTGATTTCTATATAAGAGTTTTTAAAGCAGGAAAGTCACTAGACTTAGATATTCTGAAAAACGTTCAATATTCTCAAAAATTTTTACAACAGGTTACAAAGGGTGGGGACCCATAAGATGTGATCATCTTTTATAAACTGTCCAAGAACATCCTGCTATTGGATAGCCACTTTGTTTTTTCCCTTTTAATTGGAGTTACATGTAAAATGGTCAGAAAACAACCTCGCCCCTGCCTTTGGTCCCAGAACCAACCACTAGGGAATGAATCACTAACCAAGATAAGGAGGAACACACTTCTCAATTGCCCTCAGAGTGATGCATGTAATATTTGACTTTTCACTCTTACATCAGTCACATGAGCCTTCTGAGAATTCAAAGCAATGATTTAAGTGGCAATAGAAGCTCTTCAACACCACCATCTAAATTCCAAATGTAATTTGGTTTCATAAGAATATGTTATTGGTTTCCAGCATGGGTGGCGTGCTTTAACCTTGGTTAGGTTTGGTGGTGGTGGAGGTAGAAAGGTCCACGGCATCTGTCTGTGGTGTTATATACACTCATTCTGTCTCCTGGGTTGAAAACACAGGCTTGTTATACAGTTACTAATGCCTAGAGGTTCTGATAATGCTAATCCCATACTAAGGGCTTACCTTAGAGAAGAAATTGCCTTATGTTTTGCACGATCCCGTAACTAAACTTCCTTGAATCAAAGTTCAAGTATTTATACCGAATGACATTTTATAGTGGGCTATGCTTTAATAAAATACCATGTTATAGATTCATTCACATATTCAATGTTCCAATCAATGTATTTCTTTTATAAAGCAGTAACATATCACTTAGCTGGGTACCTTACCATTTTCTTAAATCAGTTATTTGAGTCAAAGATGTGTTGCACGTATCTTCTTACTGGTCTTTTTGATTATTTTGCCTGAGTTGTAAGAGTTAGTTTATCTCCAGGAAATGCCCAGCAAGAGTACTGAGACATCTTCAGGAGAAATGATGATGCTGAGACTAGATGACTTTTGTCTAGGTTCATCTCTGTGAAGTGGAGGGAATGGAAAAATTCAAAGACAAAGATTTTGCCCTAGATGTCAGTGCCAACCAGCCTGTCCTGGTGGCCGTGAAAATGCTCCGAGCAGACGCCAACAAGAATGCCAGGTCTGTGGTCTGCATTTTAAATTTTCCTTTATGTGTTTCATCTTCAGGATCAGGAACCCTCCTGGAAACTTCTGAGCAATTTGTTGCTTTTGAGATGGGAAGGTCTGTGAGCTACCTCACATTTCCATTGTTGTGCTTTATTTTTCTCATGGCTCAGTAGTCTTCAGCTTCATTCTCATCTCTCTCAAAAACAAATGTACATTTTCTTTTGGGTATGCTACACATTCACTTCCTAACCCCCTTTGCACAGCACTGTACACCCCAACACACACTAAAGACTGAATACGTACCTCTTCAATCATTATACACAGACACACGCCTGAATGTCATTACCTCCCCTTGCAGACTTTTCACAATCACACACATCTTTCTTGCTAAGTTTCTCCCATTCTCCTTTTTCCCCCCACATCTCTATTTACTTTCTCATCCTCTTTTTTCTCTTTTATGCTCCTTTTCTTCTATGTCCAGCAACCCCCCAAATGAGAAGCTACCTCTACTTGGAAAAGTATCCATGGACCTCAAAGCAAAAGGATCCACAGTCCTTTAGCAGTTTTCCAAACTGGCTAATAATCTCTTGGATCCTTTACTACATAAATTGCAGTTTCCAGCCACACTGCGTTGTCTGACAGCCTTTCCATTACAGTAATGGTGAGTTAATCCTCACCCAGAGAGGCATGCTGGTTGAAAGCTGGTTGTATATGTCTCAGAGAAATCTGCACATCTGGGTAACATATGTATTTCCCCATTTGTGTTGGCTTGATGTGTCTCACTGATATTCAAATTTAGAGAAAGTTTATGATCCCTATTCCTTAAATTATCATAAATTCCAAAAATGGTGTTAGGGTTTTATTAAAAGTCTTGCAATTGAAAGGATATGGCATGAAGAAGAAAGAAAGGCAAGGGAAGAGAACTGTGGAGGTTTTGGAATTTTAACTGCAAGAATTTCAATTTAAGGATACTAGTATGAGTGAAAAGGGACATCCTCTGGGTCCCATAGAGAGATAGAATATTCCTGATATTAATCTTAGCACGTGATTGGAGAAGGTGGCAAGATGAAAGAAAAAAACTATGGGATGTGACAAAGCCTTTGCCCATTGTTTTTTTTGGTGACGTTTGGTGTCCCACCTGTGCCCACTCCAATTTAGCAGTGATGGATGGCTTAGGCTCTGAGCTCTCCCAAGCCATGGACCCCCCCGCTGGGTTTGAGATTGAAGGGGTAATGAAAGAGGAGAGGTGTTGTATCAGGACCACACTGATTTCAAGGATTTTATATTGACATAGTATGACTTCCAGTCCAGGATTCCTAGGAAACTCACAGGAGACTTATAACAGGTCTGCTTCAATAGTTTTGAGAATGTGGGCTAGTCTCACTAACCCAAATATTGCTACTTGGAAGGTTATAGCCCACTTTGTGACTCAAGGGTGGTTGTCACCATCTATTCAAACAATTATTAGTTTTGGCCAAGTGAGTACTTCTTTTGAAATGATGCTGCATTACCACTGTGAACTTTAAACAGCTGTTTTGAACAGGCTACTAAATATGTGTTGTGACTGACTGCTGGTGCACCCTGCATTAAAAGAAACCAGTATGAGAAAATAAAAAATTATCAGATTAAACCAGAGGGTGGTTATTCACTTTATAAAAAGTGCCTTCACTTTACTTATAGAGTGACTCCACGGCTTTTTGTTTGTTTTTCTCTTTTGGGGGGTGCTGCATTGGGTCTTTGCTGCTGCACGTGGGCTTTCTCTATTTGTGGTGAGCAGGGGCTACTCTTCGCTGCAGTGAGCGCACTTCTTGTTGTGGTGGCTTCTCTTGTTGTGGAGCACGGGCTCTGGAGCGCGGGCTTCAGTAGTTGTGTCACACAGGCTCAGTAGTTGTGGCTTGCGGGCTCTAGAACGCAGGCTCAGTAGTTGTGGCGCACAGGCTTAGTTGCTCCGCGGCATGCGGGATCTTCCCGGACCAGGGCTCGAACCCGTGCCCTCTGCGTTTGCAGGCAGATTCTTAACCACTGCACCACCAGGGAAGTCCCTTCATGGCTTTAAAAAAGGTAAAGACCCCAGTGCGCTTAAGATATGACTTTCAGTTGAAGGTTTTATTTTTAAGACTAGTTTTTAGCAACATATATTTGATTTAGCAAATATTAATCACTTTCTATGGGGCAGGCCTTCTGTTGGATACTAGGGATGCACATGTGAACGTCATGGTCCATGTTCCCCCCGCCAAATTATAGTTGAATAAGGGCACATCGCATTCCAGGATGAGTAGAATGAGACAGTTTCCAGGTACCAATTTCTCTGTTCTCTCAAAGGTTATCCAAAGGGAAACAAGACTCAGTATAATGGTTAGGACTAGACTTTGCTGTGTCTTCTTTGCCCTCTTGATCCTAACTCTGGCAACCTCTGGGTTTATCTATGTCTCTGTCCTCCAAAGGAATGATTTTCTTAAGGAGATAAAGATCATGTCCCGGCTCAAGGACCCAAACATCATCCGTCTCTTAGCTGTGTGTATCACTGACGATCCTCTCTGCATGATCACTGAGTACATGGAGAATGGAGATCTCAATCAGTTTCTTTCCCGCCACGAGCCCCCCAGTTCTTCCTTCAGCAACGTACCCACTGTCAGGTAAATACGCCGGGTCTTCTGTCTCTTCCCTGTGTTCATGAGACTAAGCTGGGATCTGAAGTGGGGAGCAGTGAGCCTTAAAGTTCATCATTGTTCTGGAATGGTTGGGGAGGTTAGTATGCAGGGAATAATAAAGCAGCTGCCCTTTAGGGGAAAGCAAAGAGATTCATAAAGAATAGAGAAGGGATGTTGAGGTTGGAACCCTAGTTTGTTGGTACCAACTATAGGGTGTGTACCTTTCACAGCTTCTTCTTTCCAGAGGCTACTTTCTCTCTTCCTTTATATTTCCTCAGTTATGCCAACCTGAAGTTTATGGCTACCCAGATTGCATCTGGCATGAAGTACCTTTCCTCGCTTAATTTTGTTCATCGAGATCTGGCCACACGAAACTGCTTAGTGGGTAAGAACTATACCATCAAGATAGCTGACTTTGGGATGAGCAGAAACCTGTACAGCGGTGACTACTACCGAATCCAGGGCCGGGCAGTACTCCCGATCCGCTGGATGTCTTGGGAGAGCATCTTGCTGGTGAGTTTCCTGTGTTTCTGAGCTCTGCCGTAGCAGCTGGCATGTAGGCAGATGCAGATGGTGCGTAGGGGTGCACCTGAGACAGCAGGAGGCAGACAATAAATAGACTTTGATATTTTCTCTGACTTGATATGATTTACTTTGTGTACTAATTATTATTTTTAACACTTGCCTGTTCCTGCTGATAAAATATAACATGCTTACCGTAGAAAGTATGGAGGAAAAGGTTAAAAATATACCCATAATGAGAAGAGATTTAGTACCATTTTTTTCATCTCTACCCTTTCCACCTACTGACTGATCTTAATTAATTTAGAGTATTAAAATCTTGTCATTTGAAGAACTGTTATCCACACAAAATATTTTTCTTCTGTATTAATTTCATAACCATGTTTCTAATTAATTATTTAGATGGATCTCTATATTTGTATTTTAATGATTTTCACCGTTTACTTTTTAAGGTCCTCATTCTTTGCTTTATAATTTTTATCCAGCTCTTGGTATTCTGGACCACAAGTGAATACGTTTTTTTCAAACGCCTCTTAGAAATATATCTTCTGACCATGCGTATTTGGGACAATTTACTGTTGATTTTATACCACTTAGCTGATTTATAGAATTATTAGACTTTAAACATTTACTTCCTACAATGCTGTGTATGTGTAATTTTGTCTTTTGTCATTTAATATTGTGGAGAAAAGCCTGATAGCAATCTAGTTTTGTTAATTTATTATTAATCTGTTTGTTTCTTGTTCATATCTTATAGAGTTCATAATTAATGTTGAAATAAGAAATGTATAGTTATCCCCTTCCTCTCACCAAGATAACCACTATTAATATTAATATTTTAGTGTATTTCCTTTGAGGATTTTTTCTATACATGTATTTCTCTGAATATATGTATTATATATATAATTATTTTACGTATTGGGATGATACTATGCACATACAATTCTCTCTCACTGGCAGTAAATATTCTTCAAATACATGATTTTAATTGCTGCATAATATTCTATTGTGTGGATATATCCTATAATTTAATAATGTCACTATAATTTGATATTTAAGTACTTTCCAATTTCCTTCGATTATAAATGATGCTGTGATATATACCATTTTATGTAAATCCTTATAAAGATCTTTATCATCTATATAGATGAATCACATATTTTACTCATTTCTAATGCGATTATTAAGCTTTGCTCCCTTTAAAGGTATTGTGTGGTGTTGTAAAAGATTATTAGACCAAGATTCAGAGGGTTTTGGTCCAAATCTCAGTTTTTCCATTATTAATGGTCTCGTTAACCAGGGAATTTTAGTAAACCTCTTGTCTCACTTTTCTGACCTGAAAAATAAGGATAAATAATATCATCTATGTCAGCACTGTATTTATTGAATAGAACATATGCAAGTATTTAATACCTGCTGATTGCATCTGAATCTCATTGCTGTCACTCGTTAGTCTATCCTTCAAGGCTGTGACGATTATTGAACAAGGACTACTCGGTGCACTTACACTAGATTTCCGTATCTCTCACATAGAAACAATTGCTTCCCATTCTAATTTTGCCTTTCCCCTGGGCATTTCTCCAAGGCTACCCTAGATCCTAGAGTTTGACCTTCTAACATGCACTGGGAGAGTCAGATAGCTTACGGCTGCATCCTTTTCAGCCCTTGGATCTCACCTCCAAGAGAAGTATACCTCAGCAGAGATCCTGAGGGTGAGAAAAGGGCCTGTAGCTTGGCATCGAGACAACTTCCTATTGTTGTTTCCAGATCGCCCATGAGTATCTTGGCAGTCCCAGTATTCCTTGCCCTGGGTTGTAAAAGTGGCAAAACTCCAGATTATGAAAACCTAATCAGCTCTTGTTATGCACAGATTATTCTTTTTCTTATTTAAACAGGGCAAATTCACCACAGCAAGTGATGTGTGGGCCTTCGGAGTGACTCTGTGGGAGACCTTCACCTTCTGCCAGGAACAGCCCTATTCCCAGCTGTCAGATGAACAGGTCATCGAGAATACTGGAGAGTTCTTCCGAGACCAAGGGAGGCAGGTGAGAACTGTTGGGGTTGGAGAGATGTGGCCTTGGGTGCTCTTGAAGGAGAGAGAAAGAGAAGTTCTGACTTAACAGGATAGGTCTGAGCTGGAAAATGGGCTACCTGGATCATAGTTGTTTGTCACTAATTATCCAGCTAATGTAAAAGACCAAGAACTTTTGTCACTAATTATCCAGGTGATGTGAAAGACAAGGTCCTCCCTAGGCATCCATTCACTCTGCTTTATCCATGTGTCAACCCGTTGGTCATTGGAGAACATGAGGGGTCCCCTCAGGCTGCTCCCCAACTCAAAGATACCAGAAAATAAAATCCTATCTCTCATGTTTGATCTATTTCCTGGTCTAGGCTCTATGGTTTGTCTTCCTGGTTGAGAAACATAGGAACAAAAACGTAAGCTTAAAAGTGAATAAGGGATTTATTAGCATTCGTTAAAAATTTGGTTTGGACTGTCTAGAAATGTTTCTTGACTTACATGTCCCGAGACCTTCAGGTACATCCTGGCCTTGCTGTTCTTGGAAGGCACCTCTGGGCCCAGCTGCTGTGGCATCTCAGGACTCAGGAAAAGCTGGGCTTCTTAGCTTACAAGGGCCCCAATTCCTAGTTAAGATACTACAAGTTTCCTTTGGATGACTCAGTGTTTAAAGTTCCTGTGAGACGTGAGATTGAAAGCTTGCTGGTGGTGGGAGCACTGAAACCCCAGAGTGGCCTGGCTACAGCACACACTTGGAATGTGGCATCTCAGGCAGGAAGATGATAACAGTTGAGGAGAGGGAGAAGGCTCTTGCAGAAGATTAAAAGTAGATCCTCTGTGGCTTAAATGGATCAAAGCAAGCAAAAGATAAGGGAATGACTAGAGATTGTACAATATGCAGCTTAAAAATAGGAAGGAGGGGTCCTAGAATTTTATCTTGATACTCTGTAGATGTTTTGGTAGCAGGAGATTTAAATTATCTATCTCGGTTATGGAGTAATTGCCTTCTTACCTTGGCAAAGGGCAGATTTACTCCGGTGTGCATGAGATAAGAGAGTAGAACAAGGAAAAATGTTTTTTCTCCTGGACTAGTAGCACATCATGGCCACCTGGTTGACCTACTAGATTCTTGTGGCCAATTAAAGGCGGTGCATTCAATTAGAAAGTGTAATTTTATTATCATAATGATTCTAACTTGAGTACATCCTAGAATTGTAGGCAAAGGGAGGAATATTTTAAACCTTTCAGTTTCCCTCCTCTTATTATTCAGTGACTGAAATCCCACATGGAAAAAAAAATTTACACGAGGCAAAATTGAACTATCAAACAGTCAGGCAAGAAAGGCATGCTTCCCCTCCCCCTACTTCATGTCCACTGTCTGCTTTGCATTTGAAAAGTAAAGTCAAATATTTGACTGAAGCCAAGGCCAAAGCCAAATATTACCATTATATGCTAGTAAGCTTCTCATCTATAAGTTTAAATTTTTGATAAAAGTTTATTTAATTTAACATATGGACTTACTAAACATAATTTATTAAATTTGTATTTTATTACAATTTACAAAATTTAATTACTTTAAATTTTATTAAAATCTCAGTATTCAAATTTTAAAAGTTTGACATTAGAATTAAGGACGGTAATTTCTCAACACTATCAGCTGCTAGATGGATTTTATGGTCTCTAGACTACACATGTGTGATCTAATTTGTTTTCACATGGCACAATGTCACCAACTTGTTGAACATAGCAGATATAATGCAGAAGGAAACTTTTCAGTAGCACAAATTCTAGAAAGAATCTTATACTTAGGGCTCACAGCTTAAGCAAAGCTTAAATCTTTTGTATTCAATTGGAAGTCTATAACAATAATTTCAATAATTTTAAAATGTATTTGACATTTTTGTTTTCAATTTATTTTTACAAACTGTAAAGAATTCTCAGATAGCACTTTTCTTAAAAGCTCATGGTCTAAATGGAATTAAATAATTAAAAATTGGGACTTCCCTGGTGGTTCAATGGTTAAGAATCCACCTGCCAGTGCAGGGGACACAAGTTCATGCCCTGGTCTGGGAAGATGCCACATGCCGCGGAGCAACTAAGCCCGTGCGCCACAACTACTGAGCCTGTGCTCTAGAGCCCGTGAGCTACAACTACTGAAGCCCGCATGCCTAGAGCCCATGCTCCGCAACAAGAGAAGCCACCACAATGAGAAGCCCACGCACCACAACGAAGAGTAGACCCCGCTCGCCACTAGAGAAAAGCCCATGCACAGCAACGAAGACCCAATGCAGCCAAAAATAAATAAATGAATGAATGGATAAATAAATGAATAAATAACTAAAGTTTAAATTTAAAAAAATGAATGCTCAAAACCATCATAAGATATCATCTCACAACTTTAGAATGGCTGTTATCAAAAAGACAAGAAACAACAAGTGCTAGTGAGGATGTGGAGAAAAGGGAACCCTCATGCCCTGTTGGTGGGAATGTAAATTGGTGCAGCCTCTGTGGAAAACAGTGTGGAGGTTCCTCAAAAAATTAAAGATAGAGCTTCGTTATGATCCTATGATGCATGACATAAGCTGGTGTTGGTGTGTGAGAAGGCAAGATGGAAATAGTTAATGATTTACCAGCTGCAAACGTTGGACCCATGTTTCAAAGAGCTTGAGAAATTTAGGTTTGCTTTAGGAATATGTCAATATACCAAGGTGTTAAAAAACGTAGGTAAGGAAATGACAGCAACAGATTACAGGCAAACAGAAGATGACCTGGAGTCAGTAGAGTGGCATCTTGCTGGTGGAAGCAGTCAGTAACTGGTTCTTTGGGAGTAGAGCCAAATACAACTCTAGGCTGGAATTCAGGGCAGGGCTGTAGAGGGAATAAATGTACAAATATTGGTGAATAATGTAAGGAAGAAGTCCAATCTTCTCTCCCTGGGCCAGTACAGGAGAGAGGGAGCACAGAGAAGGTTATGGTTAGGAGCTACATGGATATATCCCACATCTCAGTGACTAGGGTTTTATTCCAATAAAGGAGCTGAGGCAGCTAGTATACTTTCTGCCCTTTTGCCATGATTGGCTCAATCAGAATAAATCTCATTGTGGCTAGGCTATAAATAGAGGTTTGGTGTTCTAATCACTTGCTTTCCAGTCTAAGATGTCTTCTTGCTTCAGTTTCATCTTTTGCATGATGGTAGGGACCACAGGATGGCCCATCAGGAAATTCTGCTCCAGAGAACTGGAAAAGACAAAAGGAATGGAAAAGGGACTGATGGGATTTAGAATCCTCATGAATAGGAAGAATAGACACCCCACTCATTTCACTTTCCAAGTCCAAGAAAATGGGGAGTGGGCAAATCATACTATGATGCAACTGCTCTTCCTTTCTCTGCGCTCTTCTTAATAGTCTCATTTTTTGTTCATTTTTCTTTCCAAAGACTTACCTCCCCCAGCCTGCCATTTGCCCTGACTCTGTGTATAAGCTGATGCTCAGCTGCTGGAGAAGAGACACCAAGCACCGTCCCTCATTCCAGGAAATCCACCTTCTGCTTCTTCAGCAAGGGGACGAGTGATGCTGTCAATGCCTGGCAACAGGTCCTCCTCACAAGACCTACCACTCACCCACGCCTAAGCCACTCCATTTGGACATTGAATGGACCTGAGAGACAGAGGCTTGTTTGCCTTTATCTCTTTCTGTCCCTCGTCTCCCTCCACTCCACTCCCCCACTCTCTACCCCGACACATATATACTTTTTTTACTTTAAAGAACTAAAAAAGAAAAAAAAAAAAGCCTAGGGCAGAATAGGGCAGATAAAATCTAGTAAAGAATCTTACTTGATATACTAAAAAAGTTGGATAACAAAGGCTAGATAATTGAGATAATTTATAAAGGTTAAATATGCTTGTGTTTATGAATGTGCAGATTCTACAATATGTTTTCCATGTCATCTTGTAAAAAAAAATGGTTTCAGAAAGAAAACACTTGAAGAATAGTAATGTCTTAGGAAACATGAGATTAGACTTAGGGAAAATACTTGGTAAGTGTGGAGAATCTGATGAAATGGTATTCAGTAACTAGTCACCAATGGTTTAATTTCCTAATTCGGCCTGTAGACATGTCCTGAACTCTGCATTTTCCTCTCCTGGCAAAGTAGATGTTAACATGCTTGAAAAAACCCACCTTCTTTGAATGGGTGTTTTGTTTGTTCATGGGCAGGGATCAGGGTTGAGATCTATATGCATAGGAAATACAGAGGATGTACATAGGAAAGAATATCTACTGCAAGGCTACATGAACAGGAATCGTCATTTGCAAAACAAAAACAAAAAAAGCCTCGTGCATGGAAATATTCTTGAATAGAGAATGGACACAGGGAAAGAGACCTGTGGAGGACAGGTAACAGATGTGATGTTCACTACTGTAGAGGGTCCTCCTCTTGTCTTGTTCAGACATTTTCAGGTGTGTGTTTTAGTGAGAGCCTGATTTTGAGTCGGTACAAACTGTTGTTTTCTGATATCTTGATCCTAGGCCTTTTGGTTTATCTTCTCCAAATTTTCCAACTCTTTTAATGGATGAATACCAAATGGAACCCAAGGGCTGGTGATTGAATTTCTCAGGCATAAATCTGAAGGCCATGCACAATAGGGAATAGATATGTTCTGAGCACTCCCAAAGGGTTGACTGAGGACCAATGAGGGGAAGTTACAGGGAGATTGATTTCCACTCCTTACTAGGGAAAACATAACCAGAGATAGAACATGCAAGGATGAATGGGCTGCCTCCAGAGATGGGGAGTCCTTTGTCACTGTCCTTTTGTCAATAGGGTTTCAAACATAAGTGGTTGTGGGAGATGATGTTTAATGTCCTTTTAACCCTAGGAGTCCCTTGAGAGGAGCAGGTTGAGCGTGGAGGAGTCATTCGCTGCTGTTGCTTGGTGTTCACACTCTTGCCTTGGAGATGGTATGACCAGCAGAAAAAGAAAGTTTGAGGTTCTGGCTTCAGAATCCATGGATACTGATAACACTGTCAAATAAGAGTCCCCTCAGAACAGATTCTGAGCTTTCACACTCCACAGATCCTCAGATTCAGTAGGAAACAGGGAAAGAGAACCTTCAATTCCCTCTGAGGAGAAACAAGAAAAGATCACAATATAAGCTTCCCAAACTTAGAAGAAATAGACCTGACCCCTTGGGTCTGCTTCTCTTGCCTTCACCCAGCCCACCTTCTACACAGTCTCTCAGGAACTTGAGTGTTTCCCCCTGTCCAGCCTTCAGCATTGCTCCAGGCCACAGCAGAAGCATAAATCCCCAATCCCCAAGGTTCATTTTGCGGGTCATCTTCCTTCCCCTAGAAAACACCCTTTCCCCATGGTTGTCTTGTGAGTCTGGTCTTCAGTGTCTCCCAGGACTAACTTTGGAGAGAACATCAGTTTGGGAGCTGTGACCCTATTTCTGCCTCAAGCCAAGTGTTGGACAAGTCACTTTGCTTCTCTGGACTTTTGTTTCTTTATTGGAACAAGTTAGATGAGATGGTCTTGAAGTCTCTTCCAGTTCTGATACGTTCAGTGCTCATTGGATAACTGGATCTACAATTGATGCAGACTCAGTTATCTGATCATCTCCTTCTCTGAAGATCGTGGTCAGCAAAAGAGATCATGTAGGGAAGCCACTATAATAGTAGGAATAGTAACACCTGTCATTTGTTCAGTGCTTTAAAGTTTACCATGTAGTGTACCACATACATTATCTCATTTGATATATGCAGGGCCAGACATGTTCTTTTATACTTGGGGCCTGCCACACTCTCTACATTCCCAAGATCAGTGTTAACTTCATGTATAATTCAGAGTTCTCCAGAGAAACAGAACTAACAGACTATATATGTATATGGAATCGGGGGATTGGCTTACACAATTATGGAGGCTGAGAAGTCCCACAATCTGATATCTGCAATCTGGAGATCCAGGAAAGCTGCTGCTGCTGTAGTTCTGAGAACCAGAAGGCCAATGGTATAAGTCCCAGTTGAGGGCAGGAGAAGACTGATGTGTCAGCTCAAGCAGTCAGGCAGAGAGGGCAAACTCCCCCTTACTTTTTTCTTCTATTCAGGGCTTCATTGGTTTGGATGATGCCCACCCACATTGGAGAGGGCAATCTGCCTTACTCAATTCACCAATTCAAACGCTAATCTCATCCAGAAACACCCTCACAGAAACACCCAGAAATAATGTTTAATCTGAGTGCCACATGTCCCAGTCAAGTTGACACGTTAATCATTCCATTTCAGTAGAATCATAGGGACTTGAAATCAGGGCCTGTAGCTTATTCTCCTTTATCCACGTACTTCTGGCAGGAGTACATCCAGACCAGGCCATGACTTCCTATGTGGCAAGAAGAAAGACATAATTTCCCCTTCCTTCGCCTTATATCTCTCCACTTACTTCTTTTTACAATTCTGCGTCAATACACTGCATTTCATGATCCCATAAAAAATCATATTTAAAATGAATTTAGTATGTCTGGGTTTTTCTGGCCTTGAGTCATAGAGGTAATCTATTTCAAGCAGCTGGCAAATATGTATTGTCAGGTACAGTTATCTTTTTCTGAGATGAGGAAGGCACCATTTTCTGGTGCTAAGGCTTTGGTACTACAGATACAGTTTTAACTTCTCCCTTAGTCAGACCCATCAAGTTTAGCAGCACAAATCTGAGAGACCCAACAGAGTGCAATGGCGAAGGCTTAGTATGTAGACTTTAAAGGTAGCTGGAATCCAAATTGGAAGAATGAAGTTAGGCATTATGTAGAAAAGGAGATAGGAAAAGGGATGAGAAACTGTGGGGCCTTGTTACCTTTCTAGGAAGTTATCCTCTTCATGATATATGTGAAATATTTTATGTCCAGATTGTGGTTTTGGGGTATTCAGATTTAAATGTATACTGTTGCTGGTGAATGTCCTGATAGCTAAGTCCATATCTTGATGTGCTGTCCAGACACATACGTGCTCAGAAAAGATCTGGAGTAGAAAGAGGCCCCCGAGGGGGAAAAGTGGTTTTAATGCAATGGAAAGATCACTTGCAAGTGTATACGACTATATGACAAAGGGCATTGTATGGAAATGGAGCAAAGGATGAATAAATGAACATGCATGTGACTGGACCGGGCACGTGGGAGTTAGAAAGAAGACTACATAATAAAGGATAATGGAGAGTGCGTGAGAAGGATGGGGGAGGTCAGGGCAAGCAAGATAGACACAGGGGGTGCTGTTGAGAGTCCATTCTGAAGCATGAAAGCAGATCTCTCTAAAGAGAGAGCCGAGAGAGGACAGAAAGTAAGTGTGTTGAAGATAAAGGATAGATGTATATGGAGAGAGAAGCAATTCTGGATGATAGAGATTATAAAAGTAGTTATTTAAAAAATGAAAAGTCAGGTGCAGAGTATGACATGGAAGGGAGCTTTTCAGAGATTTAAGAAAAGGGAAGCCCAGCATGAACCTAAAAACACACAAGCAACCACCAGGGAATGCCCTTTTCATCTCACAGGAAGTGGGAGAGGGAGGCAGTTTGAACACGTGTGTTCTAGACCACCTCAGGTCCTGGGGTTTAATGGTGGTGAGAAGAAATCAACTCTTTGTCTGAACAGGACATGGCTTTCCCAGTGCTGCTTTGGAAATGAAGACCAAGAGATGGGGAATTTATGTTAGCTCATGAGGCTTTGTGTTCCCTTCTTTGCTTCTGTTAATGAAATCCATTTTAGATAATGCTCATCGCTGTTGTGCCTAGAAAGGCCACAGGGAAACATTGGAACAACAGGCTTAAGTTAAACTAGACTGAATCTTGTTTGATATCTGCACAAAGAGGTACATGCCATGCTGGAACCATGTGTTTTTCTAGTCTCATCCAGACTTCCTACAAGAAAGCCATGATGTGGGGCTAAGCCGTATGTTTTGAGTAAAGGAGAACTGAAGAAGGGGAAAGAGATGAAGATGTTCCAAGGAAATAGTCTAAAACAGAATAGCATCTGTTTTGCCCAAATATACCCCCAAAATGAAGAAAATTACAGTTAAGGCTTAAATTACTCCCAGTATAGAGGTAGGAGGGCTTTGATCCTAAATTGGGTTTATAGACCTGGAATTTGCCATCTTAGTCTTTTCAGTAAGACCTCTGACCTCTGGCAGTGCATATGGTAGGTTTCTGGAAGACACAGATCCAGATCTATGCTGGAATTTCCTTCTGAATTAAAATTTAACATTTTTATAGAAACAGATGAATGTCTTTTCCACTTGGTAAATGTCTTGGAATGCTAAATTGAGATGGAAAGAGACTGGAATGGTTAATGTTTATTGGATTTCTGGCATTTTGAGTTCTCTGCTACAATTAGCTACATTGCTTGGCTCAGACCATGGTGGGTAATTTGTTTAGTTGCTGTATCCTTTTTTCTTTTTTTTCAATTTGTTATTTTGAAATGCTTTAAGACTCCCAAGAAAATAGTACAGAGTGGCCTTTCCCTAACACCAGGCTTTCCAATTGATAACATTTTACATAACCATAGTCCAGTTTCAAAACCAGAAAATTGACATTGGTATAATACTATTAACTAAACTACAGACCTTACTCAGATTTCACCAGTTCTTCACATGTACACATTTCATTTCTGGATAGTTTTAACCCTTGCTGATTTGTAACCTGGTCTTCCTGGTTGCATCAGGAAAGGCATTGTCTGGATACAATTCTATAAAATCCTAAAGAGAATATAACAAATTAATCTGTTCCTTTATCAACAAGCAATATCCTACCTAGACTGTTTCCACATTTTCTGACTAGTTTGGCTGTTCAGCATCTGAAACAATCCAAGAACGGCTTAGAAAAATCAGGCAACACAAAGGACAGTAAGACCCACAGCTCACTAGCTAGGATAGAAGGAAATTAATTATAGGTGGTTTCTGCGGTTCCTACGAGTAGGATTTGTATGATGGCAAGGAGAGGACTTTAGAATAAATCAGAATTTTGGTCAAGAGCTAAGGTGGTACTTCCTTAATGGCACCAGGGAGAGCTTTTGGAAGGAATAGAGTACAATGGTAGAGACCCCTAGTGAGTAGCAAAACACTATTCTCAGAAGAGTAGAGAAGTTTCATTTGCCTGAAAGTCTATTCTTAAATGGAATAGCAACCACATTGGACCAAATGAAATGCAAATACAGCTGCAACCTACAGGTTGCAGCTGTAGCCCAGAGGTTTGGAGGGGACAGGGGAGTTGAAACTCTGGTTTTGTGGATTACAGCTTTGAGTTTTATGATGGCATGTTTAAGCTGCCCTGTTTAAGGGTCACAAGATTCTACGTGAGTTCACCTCTGTATACCCCATGTCCTGTAAAGTTCCTAGCACATAATGAGCACACCACAAATATTTGCCGAATGTTGTTTTTTGAATGAATAAAAGGTAGAAGCAGACACTTGTCATCCGGCATAACTGGGGTGAATTTAGGGAAAATTGCTTTGCTCTAATGTAGAGGGTTTATTTTCAAAGGAGGAAAGAGGAAAAAGTGCCCAGACTTGTACCTGTAAGTTACATCCTCCATTTCTAGGTTTACTGATGGTGAAATTGATCTATGGAAATGTCTTATCCTTTGAGGTATTTAGACAGAAATGCAAGGTACTTCTCTACATGGCACCCCATCAAGAGCAGGGAGCGACCCTGGCCCCAAACCCAGCTCTTTTGGAACAAGATTTTTAGTTTCTCTCGCAAACACCTTGTCAACAACTTCACGGGCCTGCAAAGGAGAAAGATGGGAGTCCCAAGCTAGCCCATGCTTACTCACATTCACAACTGCATGTAAAGGAATTTGCAAAGAGACTCAAGGGAAAGCCCAAAGGGATAGGTAATCACTTGCAGTGAAAAACTGTTTTCTTGAAAAGAGGTTTGGAAATAATTGAAAGTTGAGTGGATTCCTACAAACGCACCAAGAGTTTGTAATCTAGCCTATTCATTTTATGTCCTTTACTATTCATGATATCCTATTCTTCTACCCCGTTGTCTGGGAATTTTTTCTGAGGATTGACTTTCTGAAGCAATGTGGTGCACTCTTCCTATGAGGAGGAAACATCTGGGCTTTATTCTGCAGGCTTTGGAGGATGATGTGTCTTGTCAAGGGGTAAATAGCAAACTGATTTAATTTTTGCTTAAAACTATCTTAGTCATTCCAAAATAGAATGCATAAAAATTCTCTGTATTAGAAAAAGAAATGAGATATACCAATTGTATATTGTCTTTTCTTTATTTATTCTCTGTAAGTCTGTCAGATGATAAATTGTAAATAACGATGATTAAAGAAATATGCTACTGACGGATCCTTTTTTCTGTGAAAATAGCACTGTTTCTGGGTTTTATTACCCTTAACTCCTTACTCCCTTACATCCTTTTTGGAGAAGTGATGGGGGGTGGGGACACAGTTGAGGGGTGTATGTGGTGGGGATGCCTGTTTGTTGAGGGTTATCCGACAGAGGGTTATTTACGTAGGCCTCGCATATATTAGTTGATTGTTTATTGGAAGAAAATTACTTTGGTCCCTGGCATATCCAAACATACTAGAGATTGGGATTTTATGTTTTCACATTGGTCCAGTTCCAGGGAATCTAGTCCAGAATTAGGGATGCTTTATTATTGTTGTTACAAAGTTGTCTTGTTTGATACACAGAAATCCCTTCTAAATCCAAATATTGTCTGTCTCAAGACTGCTCACGCATACAAAGAGCAACAAAAAACTATGAACAACCAGAATACAGACTCAGTCTTCATAATAGAGAGTAGGATGGAACCACCCAAAACAACATACATCTTACCTGGTCCCTGAAGAATACATTTATACTTTTAATAATCTGAGTAATATGGACTTATTTTTTTTTTCAGTGACAGCCATAGTAGGTAAGGGAATGGATATAAATTCCCAGAGAATAACCAGAGGACTCATGAATGTACACTCTGACCACCAGAGTGTCTGGTTTGATTCCAGGACTAAAGGCCAGGTGTTCAAGTATCTGTGTAGTGAGAGTGGGGTATTGGGGGTGAAGGAGAAAAAAAATAAACAGGAACAGCAGAGATGCTCAAAGAGGTACAATTCTATTCTCAACACCTATTGCCTAAGTTTAAAGATAGACATGAGTGATACATTTGCGTCCATACGTGATAAGCCATAGATACGTATTATGCATATATCTGAAAATATAATTCGTTACTGAGGACGGAGATTATGTCTGCTTTTTTACATTTTAACTAACAACTTGAAGGGCACTGCATTTTTCAAGTGCTAAGAACTAGAAAACTGATATATCTCCATTTATAACTTTATACTCATTTGTATTTGAAAAAGTAATGTATACACTTATAACATCCTCTGGTCCTTGAGTCCTCCGGAACAATAGCTTCTTATGCATAAGCAACAGATGACCTTTTACTATCTAATGAAATGGGTAAAATCCCACTCTCAAAGTAGTGTTGCACCAGGCTGGTTGTATAGTGATTTGAAGAAAAAAAGAGATGAAAGATATCTACAAGAAAAGTCACATGACCCCACTGGCAGCTGTTCTTTTGCCCCTGTTTGCAAACCAGAGGGAAGTTAGTTCTGGAGAGAATTATAAGGGCCCAGAACAGAGCTCTGTTATGGAGGCTAAAGATAACTTTACTCATCTTTATCTACCTAAGAGCTATTTCAGGCACGATAAAAGAAATCAGAGATCAGTTTCAGGGTTTAGGGTAAAGGCAGATTTATTATATGAAGTAGCGAATAGACAGTCAAAGGTGAAGTGGCTACATTTACTCTTCCAATCATGGGGCCAAGGATTGGGATAAATGGGATCACTGTGCACCATGTTTCCTTCTGGTATTTCCAGGAAAATAGTCCATGAACAATACAAACTCAAGGTGACTAGTTTGAGATGATAAAAAAAATTACATTTACTTGTAAATAAAAATGCATTATGACTCTTACTGAGCAGTATCCTACATGTGATAAAATATTTTTAAAATACAAAATTAAATAGCTGTCATCAACAGAGTTCTATTCTCCTTGTCTCTCTGGCACCTCTAGCAGTTCAGCCTGTCTTTCAAAGGTTCCAGAACCTTGAAAGTAGCAACTTTATTTGAAAGAAGAGGAGACCAAGGTCTCCTCACTTGGCTTGGATGGACATCATGATGGAAGGAGAGACTGCTGGTCTTGCTCTGAAGTCTTCAGGCCTTCACTTAAGTCACAGTCAGTCCTACAATGGTTGTCACCCTAAGATTGTGAAGATGCTGCATCTTCACCTTATTTGTAGGAATGAGTTTTTCATAGGATAGCCACACAACACTTGTGTCCCCTCTCTTATTCGTTTTACAAGTCATCTCAGAGCTCTAAGACACTCTAAAAGGAGACTTTGGGTCTAGATTCTAAAGTTTGGGGTGTACCGTCAGGCCTTATAAGATGGCCTCTCTCTTGCTCTCTGTACAGCCCTGCCCTACCTGGCCCTGCCTCACCCTTACCTTATGCACATGACTGCCTCCTTCTCCTAAGCGCAAAGTTTAATTAGTAACTACCTCTATGATCAGCCCAACCCCCAGCTAACTATTGTTCTAGCCCGAGGACCAGAATGACTCCAGTATGTTTGATCATCAACAAGAAAATCTGGCCCTTGCAATGGTTGCTAAACCAAAGAACAAGACCTTCCAGCAGTCCCCCTGGCAACCAAGGAGCTCTTTTGATGTCAAATCCCCTATTACTGATAACCTTCTCCTCTACTGTGTAGCGAAGATTGCTGCCTTGTCCTGCCTGCTGTTGGCCATACACAGTGGGGTGTCACTCCAGGATCATTGCCTCTGACTTGTAAGGTTCCCTGTGCAATAAATCATTGATGTCTCTGTAGCTGACTTCTGGTTCTTTCTTTGGTCTAGCGACTGGGCAGTTGCAAGGATTGCAAGACTGCAGGGTGCAGCCCAACATGGGGTTAATTTTACCCCAAGACTTTGAGAAAATATTATTAAATTGTGGCCTCTTAGAATAATTGAAAGTGGGATTAAGGATAGTAGCTGAGTTTCACCCAAATAATAAAGAAGAATTGATAATTTAGGAATCAAATCTTTAATAATCACATTTATTCTTTCAGTCTAATTTTATTGGTATAAGATTTATCTCATACTAAACTGATACCAAATTAATCAAAACCTCTAGGGTATTCAAAAGCCAATATAAATGATCTCAGTCATATCTTTCAGAGATCATTGCTGTTTATAAATAACTAAAATTTTGAAAGAGGCTGTGAAATAAAGTGTGTTCCACAGAGTTTGATACATGATGTGCAGTATTCCGTAGTGTGGACGGGGACTGGTGATGGCCACATTGTTAACAGTCCACAATAATCCAGAAACCTAAAGTAAGTTTTTTTTTTTTTTTTTTTTTTTGCGGTACGCGGGCCTCTCACTGCTGTGGCCTCTCCCGTTGCGGGGCACAGGCTCTGGACGTGCAGGCTCAGCGGCCATGGCTCACAGGCCCAGCCGCTCCACGGCATGTGGGATCCTCCCGGACCAGGGCACGAACCCGTGTCCCCTGCATTGGCAGGTGGACTCCCAGCCACTGAGCCACCAGGGAAGCCCCTAAAGTAAGTTTTTATAGCAGTTTGGCAGAGTATCATCTGTTGAAGCTAATTAAAAAAATTGGGGCTTGTATGCCTTTTGCATTTTATTTCATTTTTCTAGTAATTTATTTTTATTGTATATTACAAAAGTACCCATCTGGGATGGCTTTGAAAAACAAAGCGGGTCTTTTACCACAAAGAGTTTGAAACATAATGAAATAGGAGGTTACAGTACACGACCCATTGCGTCCTATGGAGTTCTGAGATTCTCTGGTTCCATACCATATTCCAAGTTTTGAAAATTGGTACTTCATGCATGATTCTACGTAAAGTTCTTAATAAAACAAATGTTCATTTTCGCGAAGATGAGTTTTTTAGAGGAGGAGGAGTTCTGGGGCAGCTGCGCTGTTAAGTGGCACAGTGCCTGGATGGAAAACTAAGTAGATGATAGTCCCCAAACTTCAGTTCCTAGATTCAAACCTTTCCTCTAAAATAAGGAGCTTTGGTGCAAATATCCTGAGGTCTTCCTGCAGTGAAGCGCCAATCGGAGGCGCCAGGGTATCGACCCTGTGTATACCACGAAGCCCGTACCCTATCGCTCTGCTGGGAGCACAGCCCAAGCAAGACAAACGCCTTGCGCCACCGGCGCGCGCAGGGTCTGGGGCGGGACACCTGCTCCGCCGAGGGGCGGGGCGAGCAGGGTCAGGGGCGGGGAGAGCCCGGATTGGCTTGGGCCTTGGGCGACATGCGGCTCCGCCCCTCGGCCTATCTCACTCCATCCCCGCCCCCGCGCCGCGAGCGGAAGGCGGGCTGCGGTGGAGGAGGGGCCCAGCGCGAAGTAGATGACGCAAAGGGAGGCGGGGCCCCGCCGGGCCCTGATTGAAGGGCTGGGGGCGCGGCCGGGGCGGGGATACGGGTCAAAGTATAATACTTGTGAGAAGCCTTGCGTGGTACCTGCTTCCAGGGTGCGTGGTGATAGGGTGCGTGACCATGCGGAAAGTGGTTTTGATCACCGGGGCGAGCAGGTGAGGGCTCCATCGCGATACTGGCGGCGGCGGCGGGGTGGAGTGGGGGGGCGGTCCGAGGGAGCAGGAAGTACCGGGCCAGGAGGACCTGCCACAGACCGACCCTGGGAGCTCCCGTCGCTGACCCTGCCTCGGTGGGGACTATGGCCGAGACCCTGGCCCGCTCTTCCCTGGGTCCCCCACTGCGCGAGGTACCGGACTTGTCGGCCCAGTGAGGGGCTCAGTAACTGGTGCTTTGAATTAAACATGACAGCGGAAAGAAAACTAGAGCGCCACTAAGAGATGAGTCTCTCAATGACGATACTGTCTGTATCCAGGGAAAGGGCGCTTCCCACGCAGACCTCGCCTCCTTCCCGTCTTTGACTTTCTCATCACTGGTAATTTAATCGTGACCAGGTTGCCATATTTTGTACTCCAGCTGTTTTTTCTGTGCTAGGCTTCTGGTCCTAGGTAAATTTCAGCGTCCATGAGTGTTAGAACACTGGGGGGGAAAATCTCATTCCATGTAACACCGTGCTAGACACCTAGTATATATACTCTTCAGAAACTCAGAGAAAAGCAACTTTTTCCTGTTAAGGCATGGAAGGAGTGCAAATAACCATACTGCCAATGAGTAATTACTCCAGGGTTGGGCATTTGGATTCAGCCTCTTCTAGTGCCTGTTTTACTTCTCATTTGCTATTAAGTGAACAGTGTGTGGAGGATGAAAGTAACCAAACCATTTTTCTAATTGTTGCATTTAGAGTTTGGGGGGGATTAAGACTGAGGATATGTTAAATGTCATTTAAAATTAGTTCACTTTCAGTTATCTGGCCATGTCCTTGTTGACTAAGCCAAACCTGGCAGGTGTCTGTAATGGGCAGAATTTTAGCATGCCCTCACCTGAGTAACTTTAACAACTGGTTCAGTGCTTCCTATGTGGAAGTTGCTTAAATAAGTCAGACTTGATTTTGTGTGTTTGTTTCTTTTACAAATATTGTGATACGTGCAGTTGTATATTTGTAGTAAAGGCCTATTCTCAAGTGGGGATGAATAAACATAGCTATATTTGATGCTCAGGTTACTGATGGTACTAGACTTTTTGCCTGGAATCAGCTTAAGTCTTGGAAGAAAACCCATTTACCCAGGTTTTCATTGTTATCAGCCAACCTGGTCTGAATGCTGTCCCCATTATGTGGTTTCACAATGCTCTTTCTGAAGGAGGTCATTTATCTTTGAAACTTGTACTCATTCCTGCTTCTCTCTCCTGGTACCCATCTTATATGTCCCATTCCTATCTTCTACTTAATCATGTTGAGTTCTTTCTCTTCCTGTTGGTTATTCAATCGTAGCAGTTGGGAGGGACTTGTATCTCCTGCCATGTTACTTATACCTTTTCCTTGAAAGATTCATCCATTCCTTATCAGGAATTTCTGGTGCTCCTGCTACTGGCCATGATACCAACAGATAGTAGAGCCCTTGCCCTCGAGGAACTTAGCGGAGTAAAACATGCACACCGGGAAACACTAATAAGATGTTCTTTTCCACATTTGCTGGTGAGGTACTGAATCACTTTCATGAGTGTCATAATCAGTGTAAAGTGAAAACCACTGGCAGGATAAACTGTCTTAAAAGAAATGCTAAAGGAGAACTCTGATTTGCAGTCGAGTTATTTGGGTCATCGAGCTTTTACAGAATGAAAGAGACACAAACGGGACAGCGTCCTGAGCCAGTGACTATTAGAGTTGGAGAGTTCCCCTTTCTTTACATAATTTTTTTTTCTTTTACATTTTTTTATTGCAACATTATTATTTTTTTATTGCTTTACAATGGTGTGTTAGTTTCTGCTTTACAACAAAATGAATCAGTTATACATATACATATGTTCCCATATCTCTTCCCTCTTGCATCTCCCTCCCTCCCACCCTCCCTATCCCACCCCTCCAGGCGGTCACAAAGCACCGAGCTGATCTCCCTGTGCTATGCGGCTGCTTCCCACTAGCTATCTACCATACGTTTGGTAGTGTATATATGTCCCAAAATGTTCATTGCAGCTCTATTTACAATAGCCCGGAGATGGAAACAACCTAAGTGTCCATCATCGGATGAATGGATAAAGAAGATGTGGCACATATATACACAATTTTTTAATTCTTTCTGTCTACCTGGGCTCCTGGTTGGGGCTCAAGCTGACAAAATCAGTCTTCTGAGCCAGGGAGAAATGCTTCTATTTGGCACCATCTCATTGAATGCATATTCTGTATCTGAATTGTCCTTTCAGTGGCGTTGGCCTAGCCCTCTGCAGGCGGTTGCTGGAGGAAGACCATGAGCTTCACCTGTGCTTGGCGTGCAGGAACGTGAGCAAAGCGGAAGCCGTCCGCACTGCTCTGCTGGCCTCCCACCCCACCGCCGAGGTCTCCACCGTGCAGGTGGATGTCAGCAGCCTGCCATCAGTGTTCCAGGCCTCCAAGGAGCTCAAGCAAAGGTATGCCTCTTGTGGATGGCTTTTCTCTCATGTGATTGTGCAACACAACAGCTAATAGAATAAGAAAGGATAGGAAAACCTAAAAAAGAAATAGGTGCAGTATAAAAAGAAGTTACGCTGAGGAAATCTGTATAGAGTGACCCGTTATTGCCTTGCCTCAGTACCAAAATTTCATTCTCAGTCAAAATCATGACCATGCCATGAAGATTAATTTACCAGTGTATTTTGACATGTGGTCAGTTGTGAAGCTTTATGTTAGTGTAAGTCCTTTGATGTTTGAATGCATTTTTTGCATCTTTCCTTCACATAAGAACTTCATTAAGTGGTAGGGCAGGTACTGACAAGTGAAGAAACTTCCCCAGGCCACTAAAAATTTGTTCATACCTGGTCAGTAATTGGCATGTAATAAACATTTGATAAATATTTAGTATATGAAGGGATAGAGTCCTTGGATGTATAAATTCCCAGAAAGTGTGTACAATAAATTGCATATGGGTGCACAGTGCATTTTTCTGGAGAGGGCATGCTTTTTATTAAATTCTAAGAGGAATTTATGATCAAAAAGTCAAGAACCCTGCACTAGTCCATGCTGAGTCCTAGCAATATCTGGAATAATTAAATTTAATCAGTCATTTAATTTAATCAATAAATTATTAATTATATTTTTGTAATTGAGGCCCTTACAAAGCAAGAGCTGCTTTATTTCCTTGGACAATAAAATGAACTTCAGTATACATAAGACCTTGGTTAAAGCGTTGGCTGAAGAATAATAGTTTGCTTTTGTTTTGCGGTACGGGGGCCTCTCACTATTGTGGCCTCTCCTGTTGCGGAGCACAGGCTCCGGATGCGCAGGCTCAGCGGCCATGGCTCACGGGCCCAGCCGCTCCGCGGCATGTGGGATCTTCCCGCACCGGGACACGAACCCGTGTCCCCTGCATCGGCAGGCGGACTCTCAACCACTGCACCACCAGGGAAGCCCAATAGTTTGCATTTTGTATATGTTTATTGATAGCAATTTGCATTACCCTGTTCCACATGTACAAGTTACAAAGTGAAACTGGTTTTCTTCGGCACAGTTTTCCCTGCAGCCTTAGCCCTTTGTAAATGAGGGTTTGCTCTCCTCTACTGCTGAGCTCCTAGAATTTTCTGTCACACTGTCTTTCTAAAAACTGAGCTTTTCTAGGTTTCACATCTACTTTTCCATAACTTGTCTCCAAGTCTGTGAAACTATACAGTCAGTGTCCTTGCTGATTTAAAAACCCTCAAGTCGGGAGAGCAGTTACGAGTTTCAAGTCGTGTTTGCAGGCTTTCTGTCCCCAAACCTTCTCAGCCAGTTGGCTCTCTCATCCTGTTTTGTACAGATTTAGTTATTTCCTTGTTTAGCAGAATAGAACCTTCATCCTCAGTTAGTCGTAGCCCATTTCAGTACAGTTTTGAGATTTCATGTTGTGACATTCATAGTACTGACTATTCTCAACTGCCTTCAGAGGCTCAGGATAGCTTATCACAGTTTTAGTAATTTAGTATTCAGTAAGATATTTAGTAATTCGACCCAAACGTAAGGGGGGAGGCTGTGGGGAAGAAGGTAGCACTAAGATGATGAGTTGTCCCAGCTGCCTGTCAGCATTTAAGTGCAGTGTTGATGTATTTATTTAATCCTCAAAACAGCTCTCTTTGAGGTGGGTGGTATTATCCGAATTTAGGAAATGATGGTTGTAGTGATACTGACAAATTTGGGAATATGTGACAGTGTCCAGATAGATCTCTTGCTTATACGAAAGATGTCTTGCACTTCATGGCCCAAATGGATATCTTCGACTGTGGACCTAAATTTAGAGGCTAAGAGAGCTTGAGAAGGGCCCTTTCCAGTTGGCTGAAGCAACACCGTTCCTGATGCTGGTCTTTCCACCTGTGATACTCTGTTCTATTAGATTTGTGCCGCTGAAAACTGATAAGGAATAGTGGTTCCGTTTTATCCAGAATAGAGCACTTGTGTCAATCATTTAAGCTTTCAAGGGTACTATGCCGTTTAACTGCAGCCAGACCTGAATTTGGAAATTTGCCATTTCCACTCTTCGCTACACATTCCCTCTCCATTCCCAGCGAGATTTGTTAGTATACTTAGATGAAAGTTTGCAAGTTAGATAATGGAACAACTAACAATAGCTGGACCCATACTGTCTTTGTGGCTCTTACATGGATAACCTGATGGTATCAGTATGAGCAATTTAAACAGTCAGTTTATAATTAGAGCCATGCGGCTGTTGATTACTTATAGGATGATCAGGAAATGTTGTGTGTGGTGTGTATTGGTAACCACGTATGATCCTGAGGTACCAGCTTTAGTAGCTGTGGCCCGTGTTGTCCTGGATTATACGGAGGACAGGGAGACAGTGTGGTGCACAGAATTCTAGGCGACATTTTGAATATTCATAGTATCTGTAAGTGTAATGAGCACGGGCTCTACTTACCTTGAATCTAGTTCAAAAAGAATACACTTAGATCAAGGTTTATGTTGGTGAAAAAGGCTTCGCAAGTCAGCATTTCACACGTGTCCTGGAGGGAGCCTATCGGAAGCACCTTACCCCCATTCAGCTTCTGTAATCTCACTGTATTCTTGTGAGCTTTCATCATTTTATGACACAGAGCACCTGGCCATGAACAAGGAGAGGTTTCCACATGGATCTAATGCTCTAGTGGATATCTTGGCGTTCAGATTCCAGCACTGATGGATCAGATTATATAGATTTCACTTGTCAATGAGGGAAGATGTGAATTAAAAAAAAATGCAAAAAACTTGCTAAGACCAGAAGGAGAGTGGGTTTAATAGAAAGTTGCTTCAGTGCCTTGTTGGGAGGACTAAGCTGGAAGGGGCATTGATCAGAGAAGATTGGACTTCAAAGCCCGTTATAGCTCTCCAAATTCTGTTTGAAGCCACCATCAAAAAAAGGAATGCTCAAATATTTACCATGGCTAAAGAAAAACTGTTGAGAATGTAATACTGATGCTTTAGCTTGCTATGGCCATCTTTTTGGTTCAGAAAGTACTTTCTGTCCTTCATAGGCCTTCTTGATTCTAGTTGCTCAAAGAGATCACTAACGATCTTTTCTTGTTTTTACTTGCAGGTTTCAGAGATTTGACTATGTATATCTAAATGCTGGGATCATGCCTAATCCACAGCTAAATATCAAAGCACTTTTCTGTGGCCTCTTTTCAAGGTAATTTCCGTCTTCTAGGTGAACTGATTAGAAGGAAGGTGTTTATTACTTTGCCTAGTTTTGCCCTCAGTAGGATAACTTGAGATGAGGGGGTGTTGAGAAGGATGAAGACAGAAAGGGCTGCAACAGAAAGTTGCAGCCATGTCATGAAAGAAGGTTTCATCTTTGTGAGGAATGTTGCAAGTCATGATTCTTATCGTGTTCTTGGTCCCCAGGACATTCTGAGTGGTTGGACGTTTTGGCAGGTCAATTTTGGTCTGCCTGACTGTGTCTGTTAGCAAGAACATGTCAGAACTAGGCAGAATTGTCAGTGAGACTAATACCCAGGAAGGCAACTTGAGAAGCATTTCTCAGCTGTATGCCAGGTGCCCTGACCAGTAGGCTGGGGAAATGTACAGACCTAAATACCTTCCTGGGAGATTCTCTTTATGCATTATTAGAGTGGCTTCCAAAAATGTTTAACCACAACCTACAGTAAGAAATAAATCTTATTTTGTGACCCAGGGTACTTATTCATAAACAGATATTACTCTCACTGCATGCTATTTCCTATACTGCTACTTTTGTTTTACTTCTCTGCCATTAAACAGAGCCCTACACACAAAATTCCATGCTGGTCTTGACCTACGACATAGATCTCACAGCAAATCAATTAGTATATTCGATGCTTCAAGAATTCCTGATAATAAAACAGCCTGTTTAACTTTGTTCAGCAGTTAAAAGTCAGTGTTCAGGGGATGACTTTTTCTTCTTGGCGTAGCTATTATTTCCCCAGGGCAGCTGACTTGTAACCTGGTTTGGAAAGAGGTGACGAGAGTTTTTGCAGCAGGTTTTTGAGAGACTCAGGTTCCTATTGGTAGTATGAGCTATAACTATGTAAGTCCTTCTGTGAATTGGGGCAAGAAAGCATTTTTGCATTTGATTTAGTTCTCATGATAACCCACTCTGAGAAATAGGTATTTTTGTTCCTGTTATTACAGAATCAAGGAAAATGTAGTTTTAGGGTGGGGGAAGGCAGGAGGGGGTGTCTGTTTAGTATCTTCAGTTAAAAAAGCTTTAAAAAGTCATGCAATTGTCTTCTACTGTTTCAGAAAAGCGATTCATATATTCTCTACAGCTGAAGGAGTGCTGACCCAGAGTGAAAAGATTACTGCCGATGGCCTCCAGGAGGTGTTTGCAACCAATGTCTTTGGCCACTTTATCCTGGTAAAAAGGCTTTGGGCTTAATAAGCCAACACTTAGTACTGTGATCCTAAACACTTGCACAGATAGATCACAGTGCTGTTTCGTTAAGCTCATTAGTTTACGGCTAGCATTAAATCTTTGCGTGTTTAAATAGGGTGATCACTCTACTCTTTGAAGACATTGCTTAAAGCAGCCTACTGGTATATTTTTTCTTTTGACATCAGCTTTAGAGATCGGAGAGAAAGTAAGGTATAAACACACAAGCACCTTCAGAAACAATGTACAGAACTGAGTAAGTGCACCAGTACTGTTCTAAATGGTCTTTGAAACTGGGCTTTGCATCAGATAGGATGGGGTGACAGGGAAGCCATTATTAAACACTACTTCATGGTTAATCTTTTACTATCTTGATTTGTGATTTTTTTTTAAGCATCCAGTCTGGTGTGCCACAATTTCAGGCAACTATAAAGTTAAGCAAGGGATGTGCAACTTGTTTAGGTTTTCTGTGCTTTTTCCTCAGGTTTAGTCTCATAGGACAGCTTTAATATCTAGATTAAGTAATGGCCAGATATGTTGCCAGTTGCTTTTAATTCCTTGGTGCGAGAAGAACTCCTTCTAATGCTGGGTTTGCTTGCATAGAACTTGTATCTCTGACACTTTTATATTCATGATCACTTTTTTCACCTTAAACCTAATTTCCCTCAAAATTGGACCTCCTTGAGGACTAGCCTGAATATACATAATTTAAGATATACATAAACATTGGAATATTGTGAAACCACTAAAAGAAATCAGATAAATATTTTGCACTTACATGGGATAGCCTCTAGTATTTCATTATTGAGAAGAAATAGCAGGTTGTAATTTGTATAGTGTGATCTCATTTGTATAAACCAACAAAAATATATATCTTTACACATTGTATATACATGTATATACTATTTCTAGAATGATACAGATGAAATTGGGAACAGTGGATACCTTTGAACTGGGGTGCCGGAGCATCAGGGATGAGTGGGAGATTCATGTTTCATTCTAGGTCCTTTAGAATGAAACATGAATCTTAAAAAAAAAATGTGGTATTACCTTTTCAATGACAAAAGTTAAAATATAGTTCAGGATGGGATTGAATTCTTATATGGTCATGTTTTATAACTCTACAGGGATTCATTATCTAATATTTCCTTTATCTTTTCATAATCCTCTCCTCTTTGCTCTCTTTTCAAATTATTGAATTAATTGGCAGTGGTAGAGGGTAAGTTAATTGTTGCTGTTAATAGTCTGTTAATTTTTTGATGAATCTATTGTTTAAAAAATTAAGTTGTTAAGGATATCTAGTATTGGGGTAATCCAGGTTGGGGGAATGGCAGAGGAGAGTTGTGGCCAAAGGCACAGTTATTACAGGTGTCCTTGTGACATGACTTATCTTTGTGTATTCTTATATAGGTAGGCCTATCAGCAGGGGTTTTGGGATTGATTTATCAAATAAAATGATAGGAAGGTTTATGATGCCTTCCACTCTCTCCAAATTAGTTTTAGGAATCTTACAACTTTTTATGGATCACAAACTTGGATTCTATGTCCAGATGTAAATGCATTATATAAATGGATCCATCCCCAGTTTGATTATAAATGACCAAACTTTTAGGGCTGTTAAAAGAGTAGAGAGAATTTCTGCAAAGTTCCAGGTACAGTGCAATATTACAGTTGTGGAACCAGGTAACTGATTTAATCTCCTGTTCATGAGTTCTCTTGATTGTGTTTGATGTAAATGTTCATTGCACATCTGGAAGCTTTCCTAGATTTTTCTTTAATAAAACTTTAGTTTTAGGATAATCTTAGATTTATAGAATTATTGCAAAGTGAGTTCCTGCATACACTATGCCCAGTTTCCTCTATTATTGACATCTTACATTAGTATGGTAGATTTGTCACAATTAGTGAACCAATATTGATACATTACCATTAATGAAAGTCCATACCTTATTCAGAACTCTTTAATTTTGTGTGATGTCCCTTTTCAGTTCTAGCACCCTTCTAGGATACCACATTACATTTAATAGTCAAATCTCCTTAGGCTCTTCTTGGTTGTGATAGTTTCTCACACTTTCCTTGTTTTTGAAGACCTTGACAGTTTTGGGATTACTGCTCGGGTATTTGTACATGGTCCCTTGATTGGGATTTGTCTGTTTTCCTCATGGTTAGATTTGAGAAAATGTGTTTTTAGGAAGAAGACCACAGAGATGGAGTGCCATTCTCATCACATCCAATCAATATGTTTTATCACTATTGATGTTCTTTTTTTTTTTACACATCTTTATTGGAGTATAATTGCTTTACAATGGTGTGTTAGTTTCTACTTTATAACAAAGTGAATCAGTTATACATATGTTCCCATATCTCCTCCCTCTTGCGTCTCCCTCCCTCCCACCCTCCCTATATCACACCCCTCTAGGTGGTCACAAAGCACTGAGCTGATCTCCCTGTGCTATGCGGCTGCTTCCCACTAGCTATCTATTTTACATTTGGTAGTGTATATATGTCAGTGCTACTTTCTCACTTCATCCCAGCTTACCCTTCCCCCTCCCCATATCCTCAAGTCCATTCTCTATGTCTGTGTCTTTATTCCTGTCCTGCCCTTAGGTTCATCAGAACCTTTTTTTTTTTTTTTTTAGATTCCGTATATATGTGTTAGCATATGGTATTTGTTTTTCTCTTTCTGACTTACTTCACTCTGTATGACAGACTCTTGGTATATTGATGTTCTTTTTGATCCCCTGACTTGAATCAGTGTTTGTCAGGTTTTTCCACTATTAAGTTACTTGTTTCTTTCTCCCTTTACATACTGTACTCTTTGGAAGAGTTACTATGTGTAGCCCACACTTAAGGGGTTGTGCTTGACCTCCTTAAGAGTAGAGTAGTTATTGCAAGTAGCTCTCTGCAAGGGAGATTTGTCTATTTTCCTCCACTTAAATCTTTTTCCAATCACTTATTTATTGGCCTATTATTCCTCAGTAAAACTGAAAAAAATCATTTGTTATATCCATGCAGATTCATGGATATATATTTTTCTCCTTTGTATTATAAATACTAATTTATTTTCTTGCTCAAATTATTTTAGTTTGGGCCATTGGGAGCTCTTTCAGTTGGAACCTCTATATCTTTTTTAAAAATTTATTTATTTATTAAAAATTTTATTGAAGTACAATTGATTTAGGATGTTGTGTTAGTTTCAGGTGTACAGCAAAGTGATTCAGTTATACGTACATGTATGTGTGTGTGTATATATATATATACACACACACACACACATCTTTTTTTTTCAGATTCTTTTCCCATATAGATTATTACAAAATATTGAGTATAGTTCCCTGTGTTATACTTGTTGGTTATCTATTTTTTATATGGTAGTGTGTATATGTTATTCCCAAATTCCTAATCTATCCCTCCCCCCCGACCTTTCCTCTTTGGTAACCATAAGTTTGTTTTCTGTGTCTGTTTCATAAATAAGTTCATTTGTATCATTTTTTTAGATTTCACATATAAGTGATGTCATATGATATTTGTCTTTCTCTGACTTACTTCACTTAGTATGATAGGTCCATCCATGTTGCTGCAAATGGTATTATTCCATTCTTTTTTATGGCTGAGTAATATTCCATTGTGGCATATCTATCTATCTATCTATCTATCTATCTATCTATCTATCTCACATCTTCTTTATCCATTTATCAGTTGATGGACATGTAGATTGCTTCCATGTCTTGGGTATTATAAGTAGTACTTCAATGAACATTGGGGTGCATGTATCTTTTTGCAGTATGGTTTTCTCCAGATGCCCAAGAGTGGGATTGCAGGATCATATGGTAGCTCTATTTTTAGTAGAGCTCCTCCATATTGTTCTCCATAGTGGCTGTACCAGTTTACATTCCCATCAGCAGTGTAGGAGGGTTCCCTTTTCTCCACACCCTCCCCAGCATTTATTATTTGTAGTCTGGTATGAGGTGACACCTCATCGTAGTTTTGATTTGCATTTCTCTAATAATTAGCGATGTTGAGCATCTTTTCATGTGCCTCTTGGCCATCTGTATGTCTTCTTTGGAGGAATGTCTATGTAGATCTCCTGCCCATTTTTTGACTGGGTTGTTTGTTTTTTCTGATATTGAGCTGTATGAGCTGTTTGTATATTTTGGAAATTAATCCCTTTTTGGTTGCATCATTTGCAAATATTTTCTCCCATTCTGTAGGTTGTATTTTTGTTTTGTTTATGGTTTCCTTTGCTGTGCAAAAGCTTTTAAGTTTAATTAGGTCCCATTTGTTTATTTTTGTTTTCATTTTCATTACTCTAGGAGGTGGATCCAAAAAGATATTGCTGCAATTTATGTCAAAGAATGTTCTGCCTATGTTTTCCTCTAGGAGTTTTATACTATCTGGTCTTACATTTAGGTCTTTAATCCACTTTGAGTTTATTTTTGTGTATGGTGTTAGAGAATGTTCTAATTTCATTCTTTTACATGTAGCTGTCCAGTTTTCCCTTCACCATTTATTGAAGAGACTGTCTTTTCTCCATTGTATATTCTTGCCTCCTTTGTCTTAGGTTAATTGACCATAGCTGCGTGGGTTTATTTCTAGGCTTTCTGTCCTGTGGAACCTCTATATCTTCGACGTGCCCTCATCATTATGGCTTTCTGGTTTTGTTTTGAGCACATCCTTTCTGGCATCACATGATGTTTAAGACTCATCTTACATATTTCCTATCCCAGTCTTAGAATCAGCCATTTTCCTAAGGAGATCTGTTTCCTTTTATTGGAGAATGGTATTAGAAACCAAGGTATGGGTGCTTATTGCTGTTGAGATAGCATTTGCTTCTAGGCTCTCTCAGCTAACAGAGCAAGGATGTATCTATGTGCATACTAACCCATTTATGTATAAATATCTGTAAATATTTTGTATGTAACCATCTGAATCTTTATTAAGCTAATCATGAGTTCACACTGATGTCTCTGACTCTAATCCCTTAGCACATAGATCAGTCTAGTCTCTTCTCTTGTGTACCTGTGTCCCACTCTACCAATGACATACCTGTTCAATTCTAGTGTACATTTATATTGGTTTCAAAATTGTTATCTTGTACTCCCCCAGTATATTTTGATACATTTTTTGTTTCTTTTATTCCTCATTCAGATTCGGGAACTGGAATCTCTCCTGTGTCAGAGTGACAGTCCATCTCAGCTCATCTGGACATCATCTCGTAATGCAGTGAAATCTAATTTCAACCTTGAGGACATCCAGCACAGCAAAGGCCAGGAGCCCTACAGCTCTTCCAAATATGCTATTGACCTTCTGAGTGTGGCTTTGAACAGGAACTTCAACCAGCGGGTGAGGCCTGTCTCAGTGATATGGAAATAGCAGGGCAGTGATTTCTGAACTACCACTGATTTCCTAGTAAGATGGCTGGCTTTCTAGTAACTATGGTAGTTTAGAAGATGAAATATTGTTTCTTGAGCAGGATTGCTATGAGGACAAGATAAGACATGATGAAGACCGATAGTTGGTGTATAGGAAAGTTTTAGGGCCGAGATAATTAGCTCCTGACCTTTTAGATATATGGGGGTTCACTCACCATTCCATAGCTCTTCAAGAGCTATATTTTATATAACAGAATGATACTACTAACAATGTCAGTAGTTACTGTTAAGCATTTGCTATGTTTTAGGTGCCGTCCTTTTTATCTATGTATGTCATTTAATACCTTTCCCATCATAGTAAGGTAGGTCTGAGTATTCCCATTTTAATATGAGGACACGAAAGATTGGAGCCCTTAAGTCGTTTACCCAGAAGTCACGCAGCTAGTAAAGGGTAGAGCTCAGAGTTGAGCCCACGGCTAACTTCATAGCTTGGATTTTTCCCACTAAGCCATGCGGCCACCCAGTGTTTATTATATCTGATGTTATAGGACAGTTGGTACTTAGAAAGCCTTCTGGAGCGTGGTGAACTTTGGTGAGGCTGCAGAGCTCTGTCTCTGTGAGGACCCGGGTTTTGAGAGCAGCTGTTGTCAGTCATGCTGGCTCCTTGTGTCCTCTGTGGTCTGGAACTTAGTGCTTCTTTGTGTGTCTCTCTTGCCCAGGTCTAAAATCTTAACTGGAAATCTCTGGTCTTTCCCATGGGCATTTTCCTTTGTTTGCTTTGACTGTGTTTTTTGAGTGTGGGACTGGGAAGAAATTTAATTCCACTAATATTTATAAAAGACTGACCATTTTTAGGGTACTGGCTCAGGCTCGGAATCGAGGAGGAAGGAAAAATAAAAAGACAGTGCAGAAACTATCTGCCCTTAAGGGACGTTCTTTGATCACACTTTAGGTACAGCAATCTAAGCCTTACATAATGGTCTAGACCTGGTTGATTCTGCAATGGAGACCTTCATCAGGTGGAATTCTCACTTCTGAGAACTGGCTCTTAGAATCAAGCCTCTTAGTGAAGAGGGTGGTATAAAAGTAGAAGCTATGAGCATATTCTCTAGAAATGCATTTGAATCCTTGCTTTGTCACCAGCTTTGTAAACTTGGACAAATTATTTAATCTCCTTGTACTTCAGTTTCCTTATCTGAGAAACAGGGATAATAATAGTGCCTGCCTCATAGATTTGTTGGGAGGCTTGAATGATGGGATTGGTACGAAGCAGTCACAGCCATGCTTTGTGCTCGGAATGTGTGTGTGTGTGCTTGTGTGCGTGTGTGCATGTGTCTGCACACATGTGGGCGTGAATGCGTGGGGGGTGGAAGGGTGTGTGCTTGTGTGCATGCATACACGTGTGAGTGTGCCTATCCACATGCACATGTGTGGTGTTTTTGGGTGTGTGCATATGTATATGAATGTGATTGTATATGTGGTATGTGTGCTTGGGTATGGGTGTCTGTGGTCATGTGGTCTGCACCTGTGTGTGCATGTGCTTATGTGTGTTTGTGTGTTGACTGTTCTTCTTGTTATTATTTGAGCTCAGTGTGTGGGTCCAGTTGTGAGCCTCCTCCTGAGATTTCTTGAGATGTTTAAAAACTTGTCACAACTGCTTGTCCTCTGGAAACTCCCTTTTAGGGGTAAGGTCAGAGTGGATTAGCTTCTCTTTTCATAATAAGCTCTGGGATTTTGCTTGTCTCAATTGTCAGATAAGTTTTGGGATTTCATCTTTTACAGAAAAGGGAGATTTAGCTGATGCTGCCGCCTCCTAAAATCTGTGTGATTATTTTGCAGCCTGTGATTTTTCTCCTTGGCTTTTATGAATAGAGAAGTAGCTAATAAAGAACTACCTCCCTTTGAAGCCTTGTATGACTGGAAATGTTGTTAGGTCTGTACAAGCTACCTGAAAGACTAACCATCCATGAATGGCCCCTCACACAGGCCTTGTGGAAGTACTCAGGGTCGTCACACTCATTCCCTAGGATTAAACGTGTGGGGTGACTGTAGTCTTGGATAAGACGGCCTCCTTGCTTGTTTCTTTTGTTGCTTAATGTCAGAAAGTTGTATGTGTTGGAAGCCCTGGATTTTAGTTCACAGATGTCTTCATTTAGGGCTGAAAAGGCCCTAACTGTTCCTGGCTAGTTCCCAGAATAAGAAATTTTCCTTAGCTATCTTTGGGGCAAAATATTCTTGGGAAGAATTTTTGGTCTCTAAGACTCCTGACTGTTTTCAGAGGACTGTTGGTAAATCAGGGGGACTCTCGGGGGCTGGATTATCCGTGTCAGGCACCTCCAGGCCCTTGCAGCACTGAATAAAGAAGAAGACCTTCCAGCTTTTGATGCTCAGGGTACTTTCTGTCCACTGAACTGACTGTGCTACACTGGCATTTTCTATTTTTGTTTAAAAGAAAAATAATAAGATTAAAAGTAATAAAATTATAAATTAAAATGGTCAACATCAAAATAAGGTAAAATGCAGTGAAAATTAAACCAAATAAACTAGTAAAACAAATCCCAGTGCTCCAAGGATTACTAAAGGCCACCCAGGGCCTCTTCTATTACTAATACATGCCGTATGTTAACTGGGGCTCTCTTTATAGAACAGATCTTTCTAAAATGATGAGTCCTGGGCTAAGAACCTGATTTAGAGATCTTCAGTTGGAGGAGGTCTTTGTGGAACCACACACAGCCCTCATTCCTCTCTGATGCCAGGAGCTCCCAACTCAAGCTGGAGATATGGACCTTATATACCTGCAGGGAAACAGACACAGTTGAGGTTTCGTTGTCTGTATTTACTAGATCAGAAACTTCTTGCAGGCAAAGACTTTACTGTGTATGTCTTTTTTTATCTTAACTGCTTATTATTTTTTTAACATCTTTATTGGAGTATAATTGCTTTACAGTGGTGTGTTAGTTTCTGCTTTATAACAAAGTGAATCAGTTATACATATACGTATGTTCCCATATCTCTTCCCTCTTGCGTCTCCCCCCCTCCCCCCCTCCCTATCCCACCCCTCCAGGCGGTCACAAAGCACCGAGCTGATCTCCCTGTGCTATGCGGCTGCTTCCCACTAGCTATCTACCTTACGTTTGGTAGTGTATATATGCCCATGCCACTCTCTCGCTTTGTCACAGCTTATTTTGATTGGTCAGCTGATCTTCAATTAAGCTATTAACATGGAAAACTCAGGTAACCAGGTCCTACTTTTCTCGTCCAGCTTCAAGCTTGGTTATTCTTTGTTCTCTAAGTTTCTTGAGAGTAGAGACTTTATCTTACTATTTTTTGCATCCTGAGTGCCTCTCAGAGTGAGTTCTCAGTACATGATTCTTAAACTGAAATGGTCTACCCAGCTTCAAGGACAACTTAGAGCATAGATCCTTGATGCCCTGGCTTGCTGGCTCATTTGTGTATCTCCTTTATTAACTAGCACATAGGTGACTCAAAGTATATTGAATTAAAATTAATTGCTACCCCTCTCTGTGTTCCCAGGGTCTGTATTCCAGTGTAGCGTGCCCAGGTACAGTGTTGACCAATTTGACATATGGAATTATGCCTCCCTTTGTGTGGACGTTGATCATGCCAATCATATGGCTGGTAAGTGATGAATACTTCTTGTCTTAGTTTACTTAAGCTGTTCGAGTTGGAACCAAAAAGTTGTGTTTAAGGGTTGGGAAATAAGAAATTGAATCTAAAGGTGGCAGAATTCCATTTCATTCAAGGGTTTTGATGTTACTTAGTATGTAATCTCTGCTTCATACTACCTGATATTCCGACTGTACCACCATCTGAGTGTCCACTTTTCTTTAAGGGAATGTTTCTTTGGTCATGCACCATAGATCCCAAGAGTTCTATGATTATATAATTTTGGGAAACCTGTGTTCACACATTATTGAGACGTATATTATGTCTCATTAATATGTTATATACGTCTCAGAGACATATTAATACGTCTTTTGTTACCCAAACGTTATTGACTAGAGACGTTTCAATATTCATAACAAATTACCGGCTACAGGCATTAGTTTCTGCAAAAATCCCCCGGTCAATAACGAGTTAAAACGATATCAAACTGGATTTCTCTGAGCTTTTAATGTAGTCAGATGCATTAAAAGTTCCCCAAAAGTGTACGATTGTGCATTGTATGATCATAGAATCATGTTTTTGCTTGTTTGTTTTGTATTTTGACCATCTTGCAGGACCAGTGTCCTCCAGCACACATTAGAAAATGTTGCTTTTAGGAAATGTCCCTCCTTGTAGAGCTCAGGAAAAAAATATCCCTCCATTATAGCAGGCAGAGAAAAGAGATGAGAAGGAAATATGCCTTCATGTTAAAAGTGGTTGATTGGAGTAATGGAGATTAAGTGATATTTCTTATTTAGATTTCTTTATTTTTTGAAACTTAAAAAATGCTCTATAATAAGAAATGCAGGTTGTCTTTTATTAATATTTAAATGAATAATGCTTTTGTGACTAAACCACCACGAAATGACTATGGTTTTCTTTTTCTTAGTTCCGCTTTTTCGCAAATGCTTTCACGTTGACACCATACAATGGAACAGAAGCACTGGTATGTTACTAGAGTTTTAATATATTGTATTCACTTCACAGATGTAGACTGTAAGTTCACTGGTTTAGAAACAATCTTAACAGAAAAGATAAGAGAACAAGCTCTGAATAATCAAGGTCCTGTTTAGGACTAAGTTCTGAGCATTAGGAGTGAACTTTGAAAGTTTAGTATGTTTCATGGCACTGGATACCATGGTTGTGGGGACAGCACTTCTGCAGAAGCAAAATACATGAGGAGCCGGAGGAGAGCACAGTGTGGAATACTGCAGCGGCAGGCAAAGCAAGACGGTGGCTGGGCAGTCAGTGTGAGATTTCCTGTGGAGAAGGTGTGTTTCATGGGTCAAGAGTAGAGGCAACGAAGTCCAGCTCCATTTCCTTATGGGAAGGTTCTCTTTTCTCTGTTAATATTCGAGAATCGAGTTGTTACTTTATTAGAAAACAAGTTCGTTTCCTTAAATCGCACATGTGTGGATTGCATGTGTTTCCTCATCAATGGCAGACATTAGTAATGGATCATAATACTCTGTTCTGCTTACATAAATGATGTCTCTGAGTGTTTTTCAACTCAAGGCCCAACGACATCCACTACTAATGGATCAGAATCATCATACAAGATGAAATTTATTTGTCCTCTGTGCTTTACACCATCTGGTTGAAATTCTATTGTACTAAAGTCAGTTCTGTGTGTGTGTCTCCCTCACTCCATTTAGCTCCCTCAGGACTTTTGCTAGGCATCTTGAAAACCCGAGAGCCTAGCACTGTAGTGCTCATACTTAACAGATTCTTAAATCGTAGCTGAATTGAAATTAAGGCAAACGTTAAGGGAATTGACTTGGCACTCTTCTTTTGGTAAACATTGCAGAAACAAATGCATTGATTGTAGAGACACACAGTAGAAGCAAGTACTTTTAAACTAATTTTAATTATTTCTTAATATATATGTCAAACTATTTAAGATAATGAATAGTCCTTTAGGGCACTCATTCCGCACATTTATGTCACTGAAAATCAAGTCTAGAGGTCAAGTATATATTGAGTGTCGGTGGTGTGGAAATAGAAGTCAAAATCTAGTTAGAAGTCAAAATAGTTAGAAGTTACTAAGGAGCTTAGAGTCATGTTTAGAAAAAAAGAATGAATAGAGAAAATAGACAAGAAAGTAAGACATTCTGTCATCTGGTGGCAAGTACTGTAGGAATAATCAGAAAGGAGGATCACAGGGGGGCTGGACTAGTTGGAGGAGGCTTTGCTTGCTGAGTCGGGCTTAATCCGGGCTCTGAAGGATAGGTTGGATTTGGATGAGATGAGCAGCATGACCCCAGTGTCACAGTTTTAAAAGTTTGTTGTGACCCTGCTGTAATTTCCTTCAGTGTGGATGGGTGGCAGGTAATTACCACTTAGTGATGGTTATATATGCTGGTGGATACAAATGAGGGTTTGAGCACACCACGTGTGTAGCAAGAATCTCTTCAATCTTTGGATAAGTTTTATCTCCTTAGATGGTTTGAACCTGAGTGGCCTAAAGCACAGTGGTTAAGAATGTGCTATATATAATTCTATTACTATAGAATTACAGTAATTCTGTTCGAATTCCATTTCTCCAGTTTCTGGCTGTGAACCCTTGGGCACATGTTTTTCACTCATCTAAGCCTTTTGCTATTAACTATAAAATAGGAATTATAGGAGTAAATGAGAGAAGGCTTATTGTAAAGGATTCTGTATTTCAGCATTTGAGGTTTTAAAGAAGACCATCTTAATGAAACAAGTATAGTTCTGGCATGTGAACTGACAGATCAATGGAACAGAATAGAAAGTTGAGAATAGGCCCATAGCGTACAGGGATTTGGTAGATGATAATGATGGCCTTCCAAAACAATGGGGAAAAGATGGTTTATTCAGAAAATAATAGAATAGGATCTTTTCTTCTTACCTTACTGTCAAATAAAATTCTAGGTAAGTTAAAAGATCCATAAAAATTAAAATATATAGTTACTAGAAAAAAATACGGGGGGTGGGGCACTAAGATCCTACAGGCTGCTTGGTGCTGCCAAAAAAAAACAAAAACGGGGAAGTTATAAAATAATTTAAGAGTGTGGAGGCTTAGCTACACCCAGTAACCATAAAAGAAAAGACTGAAAATTTTGATTTAATAAAAGCAAAAAAATTTTACATGACTAAAATTCTCACTACACATATACTCGAAAGAGTAACCACAAAGTGGAAGAACACCTGCTACTCATACCATAGATAAAGGGTTACATTTTCTTAATATCTAAGGAGCTTCAACTAATCAAGAAAAACAACCTATTGGAACAATAGGCAAAGGACACGAACAGAGAGTTTTGAAACTGTTTTAATCATATGAAAAGATGCCTAATCTTACTCCTGCTAAGAGAAATGCGAATTAAAACTATAATGAAAAACTGTTTTTCAACTCTGATTAGCAAAGATTAGAAAGTTTGATAACGTACTATATTGGCAGTGGTCTAGGGAAATAAGCACTCTTCTACATTGCTGGGGGAGAGTAGCCTCATATAGCCTCTATCAAGGACTCTTCGACAAGATCATTCAAAATAATAAACACACATACCCTTAACCCAGCAATTCCATCTTTGATATTTATCTTATAGATGTACTCAAACTTATATGGCATGATGTATTCATCATTCATCACAGTGAGGTTTGTAATAGCAAAAACTGGAAAGAACCTCTAGGTCTAGCAGTTGAAAACTGATTCTATAAAGTGTGGCACATCCATGAAATGGAATACTGTGCTACTTTAAAAGAGAATAAAATGTTCATATACTGATTTGAAAGTATCTCCAAGGCCTGTTCAAGTGAAAAATGCAAAGTGTGGAGTAGTGTGTATATTTTGCTTCCATTTGCATAAGAGAAATGGATATATATGTTTTTAAGCAAATAGATTTCCTTAGAAGAATATACAAAACAGTAGCATGAGTGTTTGCTTCCAGAGAGGAGAACTGGGTGGCTAGAAAATTGGGGAGGAAGACTTTTTACCACGTACATCTTTTGAAAGTTGTACGTGTGTGTGCTTATCTATTAATAAAATATCACATCAGTGACCCATACTTTACTGTGGCGTGAGCTGAGTATCCACTCTGAATAAGCTCCAGACCACATGGCATGAACTTTAATCTGGGGATTAAGAGAAGAGACAGCTAAAATATGGTTTTTTGCTTTAAATAAAAATTTCACAGGATGCTATTAAGCAGGCTGCCCTACTGTCTTCCTTCGAATTATAGTAGTGGTTCATGAAGGCATCACAGTGAGCTGATGCTGTTCAGGAGGACTTTTAGGATTTGTCTGGGGCTCTGTAAAGTGCTGATTGTACATCCCCTCCAGCCTCACTCACCTTGGGCAGAAGAGAAGAATCACTGACACCCTCTTCTTTTCCAGGTCTGGCTTTTCCACCAAAAGCCCGAGTCTCTCGATCCTCTGGTGAAATATCTGAGTGCCACCACTGGCTTTGGAAGCAATTACGTAACGTCCAAAAAGGTAAATGTTTCCTTTGTTTCACTGAAGAGGTTGCTGCTGGGTTCCTGACCAGCCCTACCAGCTGCCCAGCTTCTCTCTCCTGGGCCTCCCGTCTCCGCTCGCTGGCATCACGTGGGCCTGTTTTCATTTCTTTCTGCTCTCTCCTGCCTCTCAGCCATGGCACACCTTCTCTCCACCTAAACTGCTCTTACCCTTCTTTCTACTGATTCATTTCTACTGTTTATCTTTAAGATCACAGCTTTCACGTGACCTTTTACATCAGGTCAGATGCTTTCATGCTAGGCTCTTTTGACCTCTTATGCCAGTTCTGTGTAGTATTCATTCAGTAGCGGGCCCCCTTGTCCAAGGATAAGCTCCATGAGGAGGGGGGGATTGCACCCCCTTTCCTAGCATGTTCCCTTGCACACGGCAGGTGCTCAAGAAATGTGTCACAAGTTGGATGAAATATAAAGCTTCTTTCTGAGTGAAGTTAGCCTCCCTTTGAGTGTTCAGTTCCACTTATGACAACTGTTAGCTTTAATAGACTGGTGTTTTGAGGAGGAACGGGATGGAGTTTGGAAAAAAAATGAATGCTGTGTTTTGTAGACTCTGTGTAACCTAAAATGAAATTAAACATAGTTATGGGAGACTTCCCTGGTGGCCCAGTGGTTAAGACTCAGCACTCCCAATGCAGGGGGCCGGGGTTTGATCCCTGGTCAGGGAACTAGGTCTCACATGCCACAACTAAAAATGATCCCGTATGCTGCACCTAAAGATCCCACATGCGGCAACGAAGATCCTGTCTGCTGCAACCAAGATGCGGCACAGCCAGATAAATAAATAATAAAAATAAACCTAGTTACATATTAGAAAAATGAGAAAAGTTTTATTTTGACCCTGTAAGGGATTAATTTTGTTGTTTTTTTTTTTTTTGGCTGCATTGGGTCTTCGTTGCTGCACGTGGGCTTTCTCTAGTTGCGGCGAGCGGGGTCTACTCTTCCTTGCAGTGCACGGGCTTCTCATTGCAGTGGCTTCTCTTGTTGTAGAGCACGGGCTCCAGGTGTGCGGGCCTCAGTAGCTGTGGCTCACGGGCTCTAGAGCACAGGCTTAGTAGTTGTGGCGCACGGGCTTAGTTGCTTTGAGACATGTGGGATCTTCCTGGACCAGGGCTCAAATCCGTGTCCCTCGCATTGGTAGGTGGATTGGTAAGCGGATTCTTAACCACTGTGCCACCAGTGAAGTCCTAATTTTGTTGTATTTTTGTCATGAGTAAGGTTTACTTTAGCTTCCCATTTTTCACTGCCTATCTTATTGTGAGGAGGAATCGGCATAAAATAAAATTAGATTGAAGCAAATAAGTTAGGTAAGTCAGAGTCAAAAATGTCAGTGATCTTGTCTATGTCAGTAACTTGAGGTCTAAGGGGAACCAAGCTCTCTGCTTCCCGTGGTATATGTTTACTGAAAATGAACCTATGAACCTCCAGTGTTTCCCAAAATACCTTTTGAGGGATAGTTCCTTGAGAAGATTTGCAGAAAGCAGTTTGTCAGCCAAGTGAGTTTGAGAAATGCTTCATATTATATGTCCCTCTTTCAGAGACATGCACAATGCACATTAGCCCAGTAAAGGCTTTGAGAAGTTGATACAGTTAAGAAATATGCGTGACGTGTTTCATCCTGCTGCTTGCAAGCTATTCTTGACTATACAACTTCTTCTTTTCTCTTTAAATTTTACATAATGCTTAACATCATCCCAAAGAACACACTTTGGGAACTCTATTGTAAACTAATGAGCTTACTTTTAGGCCCTCAGAATTTGTTTGGACTTACTATTGATCTTGAAGGAATAATTGGTATACAAAGGGGCGAAAATGTTTAATTCTATAAACCAAAGTATTTTATTAGCATTTCATAGAAATGCATTGCAGAATGTTTTTTTTTTAACATCTTTACTGGGGTATAATTGCTTTACAATGGTGTGTTAGTTTCTGCTTTATAACGAAGTGAATCACTTATACATATACATATGTTCCCATATCTCTTCCCTCTTGCGTCTCCCTCCCTCCTACCCTCCCTATCCCACCCCTCCAGGTGGTCACAAAGCACCAAGCCGATATCCCTGTGCCATACGACTGCTTCCTACTAGCTATCTACCTTACGTTTGTTAGTGTATATATGTCCATGCCTCTCTCACGCCCTGTCACAGCTCACCCTTCCCCCTCCCCATATCCTCAAGTCCGTTCTCCAGTAGGTCTGTGTCTTTATTCCTGTCTTACCCCTAGGTTCTTCATGACATTTTTTTTTCTTAAATTCCATATATATGTGTTAGCATATGGTATTTGTCTTTCTCTTTCTGACTTACTTCACTCTGTATGACAGACTCTAGGTCTATCCACCTCATTACAAATAGCTCAATTTCGTTTCTTTTTATGGCTGAGTAATATTCCATTGTATATATGTGCCACATCTTCTTTATCCATTCATCCGATGATGGGCACTTAGGTTGTTTCCATCTCCGGGCTATTGTAAATAGAGCTGCAATGAACATTTTGGTACATGACTCTTTTTGAATTTTGGTTTTCTCAGGGTATATGCCCAGTAGTGGGATTGCTGGGTCATATGGTAGTTCTATTTGTAGTTTTTTAAGGAACCTCCATACTGTTCTCCATAGTGGCTGAACCAATTCACATTCCCACCAGCAATGCAAGAGGGTTCCCTTTTCTCCACACCCTCTCCAGCATTTATTGTTTCTAGATTTTTTGATGATGGCCATTCTGACTGGTGTGAGATATCTCATTGTAGTTTTGATTTGCATTTCTCTAATGATTAATGATGTTGAGCATTCTTTCATGTGTTTGTTGACAGTCTGTATATCTTCTTTGGAGAAATGTCTATTTAGGTCTTCTGCCCATTTTTGGATGGGGTTGTTTGTTTTTTTGTTATTGAACTGCATGAGCTGCTTGTAAATTTTGGAAATTAATCCTTTGTCGGTTGCTTCATTTGCAAATATTTTCTCCCATTCTGAGGGTTGTCTTTTGGTCTTGTTTATGGTTTCCTTTGCTGTGCAAAAGCTTTGAAGTTCCATTAGGTCCCATTTGTTTATTTTTGTTTTTATTTCCATTTCTCTAGGAGGTGGGCCCAAAAGGATCTTGCTGTGAGTTATCTCATAGAGTGTTCTGCCTATGTTTTCCTCTAAGAGTTTGATAGTTTCTGGCCTTACATTTAGGTCTTTAATCCATTTTGAGCTTATTTTTGTGTATGGTGTTAGGGAGTGATCTAATCTCATACTTTTACATGTACCTGTCCAGTTTTCCCAGCACCACTTATTGAAGAGGCTGTCCTTTCTCCACTTTACATTCCTGCCACCTTTATCGAAGATAAGGTGTCCATATGTGCGTGGGTTTATCTCTGGGCTTTCTGTCTTGTTCCATTGATCTTTCTGTTTTTTGTGCCAGTACCATACCGTCTTGATTACTGTAGCTTTGTAGTATAGTCTGAAGTCAGGGAGCCTGATTCATCCAGCTCCGTGTTTTGTTCTCAAGATTGCTTTGGCTATTCGGGGTCTTTTGTGTTTCCATACAAATTGTGAAATTTTTTGTTCTAGTTGTGTGAAAAATGCCAGTGGTAGTTTGATAGGGCTTGCATTGAATCTATAGATTGCTTTGGGTAGTAGAGTCTTTTTCACAATGTTGATTCTTCCAATCCAAGAACATGGTATATCTCTCCATCTCTTTGTATCAGTTTTAATTTCTTCCATCAGTGTCTTATCATTTTCTGCATACAGGTCTTTTGTCTCCTTAGGTAGGTTTATTCCTAGATATTTTATTCTTTTTGTTGCAGTGGTAAATGGGAGTGTTTTCTTGATTTCACTTTCAGATTTTTCATCATTAGTATATAGGAATGCCAGAGATTTCTGTGCATTAATTTTGTATCCTGCCATTTTACCAAATTCATTGATTAGCTCTAGTAGTTTTCTGGTAGCATCTTTAGGATTCTCTATGTATAGTATCATGTTGTTTGCAAACAGTGACAGCTTTACTTCTTGTTTCCCGATTTGGATTCCTTTTATTTCCTTTTCTTCTCTGACTGCTGTGGCTAAAACTTCCAAAACTATGTTGAATAAGAGTGGTGAGAGTGGGCAACCTTGTCTTGTTCCTGATCTTAGTGGAAATGCTTTCAGTTTTTCACCATGGAGGATGATGTTGGCTGTGGGCTTTTCATATATGGCCTTTATTATGTTGAGGAAAGTTCCCTCTATGCCTACTTTCTGGAGGGTTTTTATCATAAATGGGTGTTGAATTTTGTCAAAAGCTTTCTCTGCATCTATTGAGATGATCATATGGTTTTTCTCCTTCAATTTGTTAATATGGTTTATCACATTGATAGATTTGCGTATATTGAAGAATCCTTGCATTCCTGGAATAAACCCCACTTGATCATGGTGTATGATCCTTTTAATGTGCTGTTGGATTCTGTTTGCTAGTATTTTGTTGAGGATTTTTGCATCTATGTTCATCAGTGATATTGGCCTGTAGTTTTCTTTCTTTGTGACATCCTTGTCTGGTTTTGGTATCAAGGTGATGGTGGCCTCGTAGAAGGAATTTGGGAGTGTTCCTCCCTCTGCTATATTTTGGAAGAGTTTGAGAAGGATGGGTGTTAGCTCTTCTCTAAATGTTTGATAGAAGTCGCCTGTGAAGCTATCTGGTCCTGGGTTTTTGTTTTTTGGAAGATTTTTAATCACAGTTTCAATTTCAGTGCTTGTGATTGGTCTGTTCATATTTTCTATTTCTTCCTGCTTCAGTCTTGGCAGATTGTGCATTTCTAAGAATTTGTCCATTTCTTCCAGATTGTCCATTTTATTGGCATAGAGTTGCTTGTAGTAATCTCTCATGATCTTTTTTATTTCTGCAGTGTCAGTTGTTACTTCTCCTTTTTCATTTCTAATTCTATTGATTTGAGTCTTCTCCCTTTTTTTCTTGATGAGTCTGGCTAATGGTTTATCTATTTTGTTTATCTTCTCAAAG